AAATCGGCCCGTTGCGACGACTAGGTTGGCTCGCTCCCGCTCGCCAACAATATTTGCTGTTTGTGAATCATAATCAGTGAAAAATTTTGTATGAGAGTTACCATACAAGCAATTATAACCAATAGAAGAGTAGGCAAGGTTGAGTGAGTCAGAGATAATAAAGTTAACAAAAAAACACTCACTGTCGAGACAACCAGAGATGAACTTCGAGTAACGATACATGATAATATTGTGTACATAAGAAATCCTTGCCGTATTGAGGACAATAGGTGTATGAGAGTTTCTAGGGAGATACCAAATTCTTCTCAGTATTTATTGCAACCTGAAGTAGCTCTCTGCGTGCTGCGCCGCCATGCGAGGTGCGCGTGCGCGCGAGATTTCTTGTTTACGGCTATAACATAATTATACCAAATCTAATTTTAGTCTGCATAAGAATAGTACCCTTCATTTTGACCATCTTTGGCTTCTTTCTCTGTACCAAAAGAACCATATGCCAAACATGGCTTGGATATGATGTCATCTCCTCCACTAGCAGGAGCAACGGGTTCACTCAGCTCATGTCTATTTATGGAAACAGACACACATAACACATGTAGCTCGGGCTGCTTGCAATCTAACCTCTTCTTCATCTGCCACAGCTTGACACAGCTCAGTGTGGCCATGACACTAACAAAAAATGTCACAACAGATGAGGCACCAGCCGTTATCAACACGATCATTAGTCTCACAGCACTGGTACCAGACTGTGTCTGAGCTCCTGTCCCTACATACAACGGGAGCAGTAGCATGTTTTCACTCCCTAGCTGCTGGCTATTAGCTATATATGCATTGATGAGACATCAGCATGGATAGTGTAGTGAGTAATGGTTAGTAAGTGTGCTCTACCATTGCTTTAGGAGAGTGTGCCATTACATATACAGTTGAAGCCTCCTATTTCATTGGCACAGACGGCATTCGAGTGATCACCGCGCAAACATTCATCAATATCTGACGTGGATGCCAGAATATATATCTTGCCCCGTAAACCAATTGACCTACCCTCACAGAAGGAGCCATTGCCAGTGTTACATGTGCATGTATAACCTCCTGGTTAACCCTCGGCGCGCATGCGCAGCGAGGGTTACAGTACTTGGGGGTCTGTGTGTCTGTCTGTCTGTCTGTCTGTCTGTTACTCGTCATCTCACTTCTCGAGTGTTCGTTCGTCTCACAAAGGATACCACCTACTGAACGGGCAATGAAGGTCAGAATTTTCGAACGGTTTTCCCTGAAAACGCTCCGTTGCGAAGCTAGAGCGCGAAAAAGGGCAATATGCAAATACACAACGGACGGGATGGCTTACCGGGGTCTGATCAATCCGCGTGCTTTGCGTACCTCGGAGGCACCAGAAGATGCAACGCAGGGCGTGTATCGCCTCTCCCATGCTATCTAGTAGTGTAGTTAGCCCGCGTCAGACTCTGCGCGAGCTGGCAAGAGACCGCGAGTAACAGCTAAAACTAAACCCAGCCCACCAATTAGTGGTACGGCGCATGCGTTTACTTACGCGTGCGCGTCACAGTGCGCCGAGGGTTTGCACTTCCGTGCTTTTCATTTATTAGAGCAAATGGCCTGGTGCTACCACCATCAATGATGAGGCATTCATCAATATATGTGACAATGCCCACAGACATTATGGCCGTGATAGTAGTAGCTATAAGCACTTAGTTTGCCTACCTTCACAGTGGAATCCATCCCCTGTAAACCCAGTGTTGCACTCACAGCTGAAATTCCCTACTTCATTAGAGCAAGTGGCCTGTTCATGACATGGGCTGTAATCACTGGAACACTCATCAATATCTGCATAATTATGATAGGAAATATCAGAGCACTAAACTGATTGTCTCCCGCCATGTCATCCAAAATACCCTGGCAGACGAATCCATCTCCAGTGAATCCAGTTGAGCACTCACAAGTGAACCCTCCTACCACATCTGTACATTGTGCATTCTCATGACAAGTATGAGTCCCTTCTGCACACTCATTCACATCTGCATGTTTGATACAAGCAGACAGCTACATTTATTGTTTGATAGTGTGCCTTACTAATAGATGCTCGCAGGAGAAAGATTCTCTGAGATTCAGCCAGGCTACTACGAGAAGAGGATATCCTATCCTCGCTACAGCTGCCTGCATTCCAGCTTAGAAAGCTGCCAGGAGCTGAGAAGAATATCTCAACACGTCTAGAATTGAATGGTTCACAGACACCAACAACATCGTTTGGTTGGACCTTGAAAAAGTCAGATGTTTCCAGGTCTATGTCTCTGCAGTCGAAAGTGGAGCCAAGGCGAGTGGTAATTCTCAACTCTTGGTAGCTCCCTGGAATCAGTTGATAGGTTCCATTTGGTTGGGGTCGGTACATAGCAATGACTAGTTCATATGGAGGTGGGTCACCATCTGCAGAGTAGCAGTATGTCCAGCTGTACACTGTACCGCTGGTTTGGGCCCCGTTGTTGAGATTCAGATATACTCTACCCTCTGTAGGACCTTGTCTGTTGGCAATTATCGAAGAACTGGATGTTGTTGATCCAACAATAGATGACACTGTTGATCCCAGAGAGACTGCAAAACAAACATTAATATATTGTTGTGTGAAGTCAATCAGTGACTCACACATTGAAAAAAGGAGCCCCTGCAGGCAAATGAGAGCTGCAAGACTCATGATACAAGTGCCCAAAGTGTTTCTCGATGATGCAGATCCAAAACAATGTCTTGCTGTTGTTTCTCATGGCTGGCTCCTTTTATATGAAATGGAATGCCCTATTTGCCTCTTCCTCATACTACACAATCAACTATAATTTACCGGGTTTCCAGTCAGGGGAGAAGTGCGCCTCTTAGCTTCCTCCACTACTATAGTATCATTTACTACTATATACCCTGTTCACCATATAAGAACAAATGTGTAATTATGCGGTGTTTTAGTGACAAAACCCTACCTATCAAACAGATGACATATCGGCTATTGTGGTCCCCACACCATCCACATCCAAGGGCTCTCATTCTATATACTCTCAGCGGGTGTCCTGTATAAACAGTTCCTTGTTCAGGTGGAAGTTGCTATGGTGTGTCACTGCTGTGCACTCCCACTTTATTTACATCCCACTCCCTACTATTGCTCTTATAAGTGTCCTCCCTTCCCGCCTGCTAACAAGTTCATGCCATAGTAATCTGTCCACGTCCATATTCAACTTAGCTACCTGACTAGTCTGTTCCCGATCGATGAGTGCTTTAGTAATGACGTGCTAAAGTATATAAATGGAATGTTTTGCAGTTGAGAGGTAGTTACCGCCATAAGGATGTATCACCCCATGCTACAAGTAGGCCATCCTATATAGCTATTCTGAAACTGTAGGCAAAGCCAACACAAAGTGTGATTGATTGATTTTGCTTGTCTCAATTTGCTTCGGTGAGTGCTAGATACTCTGCTCACAAAACAACAAAGACAGAACTCATGGTTATTATTTCTTGTATGCCACTATTATAGGCCACTATTATACAAGTAAATAAAAAATAAAAAAGTGTGGATGCCATAAAAAGCAAGGAGACAAGACAGGGATCACCTGGGCATGTGATGCAGTAGTACAATGGATGATTGTTACATCTTCAAACTGACATTTCTTGCTCATGTAAATTTTACTCCACACGCACGAGTGATATCTGTCGTATGATGTGCAGCTATGACTCGTTTCCTATGCACGTAAGAATGGTAGCAAATGCCCTCTCTGACAGGTCCTCAGTTTTGAATCGTGACTTTGTTTACTTCAATGTTCGCTCAACTAACCGATTTTACAATGCTGCTTTCTCTACAGAATTCGTTTGCCTGTCTTCACACTACACTATTCAAAACTCATGTCATGAGTAAGAGTGGCGACAATATAGGGCTTGTGTGGAGTAAAATTTACATGAGCAAGAAATGTCAGTTTGAAGATGTAACAATCATCCCATTGTACTACTGCATCACATGCCCAGGTCATCCCTGTCTTCCCTGAGGCTGTTAATCTATTGTTGTTTACAAACTTGTAATACATAGCGTAGTTGCACATGCTGTCATATCGTGCGCATCGACACAAACCAATAGCTTCGAATCTTACCTTTCGTCGGAAAAATTATGACTCTGCTATGGCTCTGAGTATTTTTAATTTTTTCTGGTTTTTTTACCGTTTCAATGAAAAGCACTAAAGTCGTTTCACTAAAGTCACAAAAAATGAGTCAATAAAGAAAACAGTAGTTGAGTCATTCATAGTTATCCCAGAGAAAGTTTCAGATCTCTATCCATTACCCCAGGTAGTGGACCTAATGTCACCACAAACAGCAATGGGGCATACCACACCCCTACCTCCACCAATACCAACGAAGGTGTGATCTCCAGCACCTCATCTACAGAATATAGTTACATCAACAGCAATGAATGGGAACTGCACAATGAATGATATCACAACTAATATATAGCAACGAGGCATACTTTTTAGTGATGTCCTCAGAATCCCAAAAAATTCCTATATACCACTATCAACGAGGCATACCTTGAAGTGACTTCCACTGAGTAACACAATATGTCACCACAGATGGCAACGTGACTTCCACTGGAGTAACACAATATGTCACCACAGATGGCAACGTGACTTCCACTGAGTAGCTAACACAATATGTCACCGCAGATGGCAATGTGACTTCACTGAAGTAACACAATATGTCACCACAGATGGCAGTGCTTTGAGAGGAACAGAATATGACATCAACACAAGCTGCAATGAAGCCTACGGTGCAGTGACCTCAAATGGAGAAAGAGAGTCTGGTCATGTCACCACACACAGCAATGAGGCATACTGTGCTACCAGAAGAACTTAACCTGGAACAAGAAACAACGAAGCATACTTTGGAGTGACTGAAGTCATACCTACCAACATGCAGGGATATTTTTCCTTGAGCCTTTAATTATTTTCCTTGATTATAATACTTTACAAAAACTGACTGGTACAAGAAGTGATGGTACACTAGCACACATAAAAATATACAAAGTATTAGGAATGGAGTTAGTGATGATCTTGATGAAGGCTTCGCTGAAGGTTCATGGAGGTCAAGGGTCACGATGTTCGCGCGCACGATACGCACGACGGGCAGACCAAACGCGAGCTCAGCGCTTCCGAAATAATTATTTTCGGGATACCGCGACGGGATTTTCCGGTATATTCCCGGAAATTCCGGGATGGTTGATGGTTAGGTAGGTATGTGAACGGCAGGCACGCAAACGTAGCTAATTTACACTATAGCTATATAGGCCTAGCTACATGCTTTAGTCAAAGTATCGTAGTTTATCTGGCTGCCTTGAGTTTTCACATTGAGTTTGACTTTGACTTTTTGGTTATTTGCGTTCGTGTGTCTGGCCTGGAGATGAGACTACTAGCTATGCAAGGACATGTAGCTAGGTATCTCAGCTTCAGAGTCGTCGAGGCAAGTCTGTTGTTTGACTATTCTGTGGAAAACCATGTCCCGACAGGAAGAAGAACGATTTCCGGTAACATTCCCGGTGACGCAGCAGAGCAAAGCCTACTGCGCATGCGTAAAAGGCGGATTCGCGATAATATTATTATTATGCGTCAAACGCACCCCATCACACTAGCTTCAACGGTTCTCGTCAAGATGGTTAAACTCCACGTTGCGTCTAAAGTACTAACATCTCTGACTCTGCTATGGTTCAGTGAGTAGACTCACTTTAGTTATGTTCACAGCTATTCTTCGCTCGTCGTTCTATTATAGTTCCTTCTGGTTTCACGCAAACGTGTCCGTCTTACCAAGTTGGTGAAAGTATCTTTTTTGGGGGGCTGGCTGTCAGACGAACGCCGACCAGAAACACTGTTTATATCAACCCAGTATCTGAACGTTCTGCACGTTGTGCTGGGAATGTATATGGATGGCAACTATGTACGAATCCTATCACCGCTCCAGCCAATGTTCAAGTATCCATGTATCGCCGAGAAGACGGTAACAGTTATCGACTAGTCAGCGGAAGTGTCTATGACCTGACTCTCCAGACCGACATATCCTCATACAGTTGCCTGGACAGGTTCCTTGAAGAGCCAGACTATTTCTCTGTTGAAGAAGGAGATATGGTGGCAGCGTGTTGGAATGACGATGATAGCAACAGAGTGGAGAATTTTCGCTTTGACGTGTTCATTAGGTTAACGTCAGGTGGCTCTTGTTCACAGGGTCTAATAAGTGAGCCTGGTCAAACAGACCGTCGACAAATTTCACTTTCAGCTTACATCAGTGAGTATTACTTAGACTGTATAGATACTAAAAAACAAAATTTCTATACTAGATGTGGATGAGTGTGAACTGGAAGAGGCCACATGCCATGAGAATGCACATGTTCTGATGTGGTGGGAGGAGAGAACAGCTACAACTGTACGTGCAATCCTGGATTCACTGGAGATGGAACCTCTTGTGTTGGTGAGTTACACTTAGTCACAAGCACTATTCTATCATGGGTCAACAGAGTGACGTGTATGCAATTTTACAGTTAAATGTGTAAATAGAAGCTATTCTCCCTAGATATAAACGAATGCACAATGGGAGAGAACAGATGTCATGATAATGCCGTGTGTTCTAACTTGGAGGGCAGCTACGACTGCACGTGCGAAACTGGATTTACTGGAAATGGATTTTCTTGTGTTGGTGAGTTACACTTAGTCACAAACACCATACTATCGTAAGTATACTTAAACCAACAAAGCATTGTTTAACTTATGCAAATGTGTAAAAGAAGCTATTCTCCCTAGATATTAATGAATGCACGATGGGAGACAACAGATGTCATGACAAAGCTGTGTGTTCTAACCTGCTGGGCAGCTATGACTGTACCTGCAATCCTGGATTCGCTGGAGATGGATTCTCTTGTTTTGGTGAGCTAACTTATTCTCACTGCATGGGAATGTACATGTGTGGTGTGGCCTCTGTTTAACAAACACTATAGGAAAGAGTAATGGTTTCTTATTGAATGCAGTAAACAGTGGAATAGGAGATGGTGAGAACAATACTTCTGAAACAGAGAGCACTAGCAGTAGCGATGCTGGAGGAGGAGGAGGAGGAGGAGGTGGTAATCCAGTAGTAACAGAGAGCTCCAGTGGTCGATGGTGGAGGCGTCAGTGGAGGTGTGGTGGCAGGAGTTGTTGTGGTTCTTCTTCTGGTTGTGGGAGCACTAGCTGTGGCAGCTGGTCTGGTTGGCTGGGTCCTCTACAGGAGAAAGAGGCTGGGCCAACAACAACTAACATCAGGCACGCTCAACAGTATTGGTATGTTAATCCGATATCAGAAGAATTGTGTAGTTGCTAAACCGTACCTTTAACAGACAATGAGGTATATGGGAAGCACTACGAGATGGCACCAGACTGCAATGACACCCCATATGAGATTCCTCTGGAGAGCCTCAGGAAAGATGGCTTCAGTTCACTTCAGTCCCCACCAGAGATAGTCTATGAGCCGACTGCAGGAGGAGAAAACGTCTATGCTACACTGGATCCAAATACAGTGAGAGTTATTGTTGCGAGTTTTTATTGAGTTTATTATTGACTTATGCAGGAATGCTCATTTAACTATGAACTCCCTGGATATAAATATGAGCAGGTGAGTGCCATGGAGTGTTTTTGGGTGTTCTGCTAATGTTCTCACTGCAGATAGTGGCTGAGAATATCTATGAGTCTGCAAGTCCGTATGAATGCCCGTCTCAGGATGAAGCTGGTCTCTATGAACAGATCAGATCATATAGCATCAATGTCATATCCCGTAAAGATATCAAGTAAGTCAGTACATACATACCATACATACTTCTTCTAAACACAAAACTTACACTTTCCTCAACTATTTTTTCACTGTTTGTTATTTGTGTTTCAGAATCCTTTCCCACCTGGGGTGTGGTCAGTTTGGGTCTGTTAATAAGGCACAGTGGACTAATGGTCGAAGACAAATGACTGTGGCAGTGAAGACTCTGACAGACTCGGCCAACACTGTCAAGTTTCTCCAGGAGGCAGCCATCATGGCCCAGTTCAGACACCCCAACATTCTCACTCTACATGGAGTTGTCAGTGCTGGCCACCCAGTGAGTATAAAGTAATAATTACTATATGTGAACATTGGCAATTACTGAGGTTTTATGTTTAGAAAACGATAGTTGTGGAACTGATGAACAATGGAGACCTCAAGGAGTATGTGACTCATATGAGACCTGAGTAAGCTCTCTGATATATCTGATATGTAACATGAACAATAGTGTGTGTGCTATTCCAGTCCAGGTCAGCAGGTGGCTGACTCTGTACCGCAGCGGCTGCTAGAATTCTCCAAACAAGTGGCTCTGGGTCTCCACTACCTCTCGTGCAGGGGGTTTGTCCACAGAGACTTGGCTGCCAGGAACATACTGGTCTCCAGCATGACTTGCAAGGTACATAAAGTTATTCATAGATGGTGGTTCACCTAGCAAAGTCCATATATACCAGCTGATATCATTTCCTGTGTCATGTGTTTTCCTGCCATAAAAAAGTGCTTGTATTATTATGCTAGAGTAAACATTGAAGTATCGCTTACTACAGGATTGCTCATTTTGGTATGACACTACTAGATTGCCGATTTTGGAATGTCGAGGGATCTGGCTGATGAGGATATCTATGTGTCTCGTGGTGGCATGATCCCTGTTCGCTGGACTGCCCCTGAGGCCCTCTTACACAAGCAATACTCTACTGCCAGTGATGTGTGGAGCTATGGATGTGTCCTCTACGAGATATGGAGTCTTGGACACAAGCCTTTTGAAAGCACTCAAATTAGAACGGTTTGTGATCTGTGCAACCCCAACAGCAACACACACTGGTTTTAATTCACTGAAGCTGTATGTATTTGCTGACACATAGATCCTACAGTTAGTGAGTAAAGGCTACCGACTCCCTCCACCTTCTGGCTGCCCCAAGAAAATCTACAACCTCATGATAGACACATGGTAAACCCAAAGAAACTGTGATCGTGGCTTTGTAGCTAGCTAACCGTTATGCTTTTTGCACCCTCTAGGCACCCAGATTCATCGAGCAGACCTCAACCGAGGGATGTGTTGAAGGGTCTTCTGGGGAATGTTGATGAGGTACTGGCTGTACCTCCTGAAGATGTGCCAGTTGACAGCCAGGCTGCTGTCCTGGGAGCTCCTCTGGACAGAGCCTCTCATCTCTACCAAGACCTTCAGAATACTTACGCTGTGTAGCTCAACAAATGTGTATTTATGATAAACAAGTATAAAATGACCGTGCGGGCATGCGCAGTATAGGGTTGCGTCTCAGGATAGCTAACAACACCGTGGAGCAAGTAGACCTCTGAGAGGGCTGCATAGTTTGTTGCGCACCACAGCATGAGAGAAGTCGGGTTGCTCCACGCGTCGTGCGCGTGCATCAACCACCTACGTTCAACGGCCGGCGCAACATACATCGACGCGACACTCTGCGCATGTACTCTTGCGCCCCTGCGCCGCCGGAGTGTAGCTATAATACGTAGCTACGTAGCTACACACTGCCGGGCCTTTGGAATCTCCATCCTTTTGTTGCAAGGTTAGAAACTAACGTACGTGGGTGATAGTAACGTACAACGATGGTTGGCCCTTACTGCGCCTCCAGGGGGTTTCTAGCAACTCTGACTCTACTATGGCTCTGTGAGTGAGTAAATAAACTGCTTACAATGAACTATTAATTTTCTTGTCGCCTTGTAGCATCTTTGTGTTGGACCGAAACCTGTCCGTCGTACCAGGTCGGTGAACATGGATCCCAGCAGCGGCGAAAAGGGATTAACGGAAACACTGTTTACATCAACACTATTGACTCTGCACCTTGTGCTGGAGAAGTGTACGGATGGCGACTCTGTTTTATGTCCGCTAATGCTGGGACTAGGCTACAGATGTCTATGTATCGTGAAGACGGTGACAGCTACCCTATCGTCAATGGAAGTGTCTATGACCTGACTCTCCAGACTGGTATCTTTTCATACAGTTGCCTGGACAGGTTCCTTGAAGAGTCGGACCATTTTTCTATTGAGCAAGGAGATATGGTGGCTGCATGTTGGAGCAGTCGCAGTAGAGTCAACATTTTCAGCCAGAATGACTCAAAACAGTTAGTTTCAGGTGGCTCTTGCTCCCAGGATGTGATTAATCAACATAGTCAAACAGATAACCGAGAAATCTTACTTTCAGCCTACATCAGTGAGTGTTCAAACTGCATAATTATACTGCTTGCTGATAAATGAATGCTCACAGATGTAAATGAATGCCTACTTGGAGAGGCCATGTGTCACAATAATGCTGCATGTTCTGATGTGGTGGGAGGAGAGAACAGCTACAACTGTACCTGCAATCTTGGATTCACTGGGGATGGATTCTCTTGTATTGGTGAGTTTTTACCAGGAGAATATACACCTAACCTGGCATCTGTGTGTACTCTACAGTTAATGGTGGGATGGAAGGTAGTGAAAACAGTACTTCTGAAGGTGATGGTGGAGGTGTCAGTGGAGGTGTGGTGGCAGGAGTTGTGGTGGTTCTTCTTCTGGTTGTGGGAGCACTGGCTGTGGCAGCTGGTCTGGTTGGCTGGGTCCTCTACAGGAGAAAGAGGCTGGGCCAACAACAACTAACAGCAGGCACACTCAACAGTATTGGTATGTTAATCGGATATAAATTAAAACAGTTTTTGTGAACCAGTCAAAAGAATTAACATACTTTCCCACAAAGATGCAATTAAGGGTGATGCTGTGCATGTATAATTATACTAAATATACCTTGTGACTATATCGCAGACAATGAGGTATATGGGAAGCACTACGAGATGGCACCAGACTACAATGCCACCCCATACGAGGTCCCTCAAGAGAGCCTCAGGAAAGATGGGTTCAGTTCACAACATTTCCAACCAGATCTCGTCTATGAGACAACTGCAGGGGCAAACATTTACGCCTCACCTGCTCCACCTCAAGTGAGAGATATTGCTGGGAGTACTAGTTTTAAACGAGTTTTTTTGTACAAATCTACAGGAATCCTCATTCATCTATGAGCTCCCTGGGAATATATATGAGCAGGTGAGTGCCAGGATTTGATGTACAAGTGTATTCCAGTAAAGATATTTACTGCAGACGGTGGCTGCTGAGAATATCTATGAGTCTGCAAGTCCGTATGAATGTCCGTCTCAGGATGAAACTGGTCTCTACGAACAGATCAGATCATATAGCATCAATGTCATATCACGTAAAGATATCAAGTAAGTCAGTACATACATACCATACATACTTCTTCTAAACACAAAACTTACACTTTCCTCAACTATTTTCACTGTTTGTTATTTGTGTTTCAGAATCCTTTCCCACCTGGGGTGTGGTCAGTTTGGGTCTGTTAATAAGGCACAGTGGACTAATGGTCGAAGACAAACGACTGTGGCAGTGAAGACTCTGACAGACTCGGCCAACACTGTCAAGTTTCTCCAGGAGGCAGCCATCATGGCCCAGTTCAGACACCCCAACATTCTCACTCTACATGGAGTAGTCAGTGCTGGCCACCCAGTGAGTATAAAGATCGTGCATGTGAACATTGGCAATTTACTGAGGTTTTATGTTTAGAAAATGATAGTTGTGGAGCTGATGAACAATGGAGACCTCAAGGAGTATGTGACTCGTATGAGACCTGAGTAAGCTCTCTGATATCTGATATGTAAGGTACATGTATCTATGTGTTATCCAGCCCAGGGCAGCTAGTGGGAGATAATGTACCACATCAACTACTGGACTTCTCCAAACAAGTGGCTCTGGGTCTCCACTACCTCTCGTGCAGGGGATTTGTCCACAGAGACTTGGCTGCCAGGAACATACTGGTCTCCAACATGACTTGCAAGGTATGTACAATTCATGCTGTCATATTCATAGATCAGCATATACAGCAGGACTATAACAACAGTTTCCATAACTGGGATGGTGAAACTATATTCATGGACGGGGGTACACACAGTAATACCCACAAAAAGTGATTTGTGTGTCTTGTTGCCATAAGAGTGTGGTGTCATGTGCTAGAGTAAACAGTGATGTAATCGCTCTAGATATCCGATTTTGGAATGTCGAGGGATCTGGCTGATGAGGATATCTATGTGTCTCATGGAGGAGTGATCCCAATGCGCTGGACTGCCCCTGAGGCCTACACTCATAAGAGATACTCCACAGCCAGTGACGTGTGGAGCTATGGCTGTGTCCTCTACGAGATATGGAGTCTTGGACACAAGCCTTTTGAAACGACCCAAATCAGAAAAGTTTGTAACCTGTTACTGTAGCCTTTACCAGGGGATTGCAGTATTAAACAATTATCCTGAGTTTAGGGGATGATCTTCCACTGAGTAATTATTAAGATTGGTACAAGAAACCCAAAACTTAATGTACAATGTTTTTAAGTTCCAAGAGGGGTTGACTTGGAGGGGGCTGACCCTATGGTGTGCCACAAGTAAGCTAATGGGGACATTGAACAGTCATTGACACTAATCTATTTGCCAACACACAGATCCCACAGTTAGTGAGTAAAGGCTACCGACTCCCTCCACCTTCTGGCTGCCCCAAGACAATCTACAACCTCATGATAGACACATGGTAAACCCAAAGAAACTGTGATCATGGCTTTGTAGCTAGCTAGCCGTTATGCTTTTTGCATCCCCTAGGCACCCAGATTCATCGAGCAGACCTCAACCGAGGGATGTGTTGAAGGGTCTTCTGGGGAATGTTGAGCAGGTACTGGCTATACCTCCTGAAGATGTGCCAGCTGACAGCCAGGCTGCTGTCCTGGGAGCTCCTCTGGACAGAGCCTCTCGTCTCTACCAAGACCTTCAGAATACTTACACTGTGTAGCTCACTCTGAAACTGGTGTACATGTACAGTATACATTCCAGCCTTTTTAACCTGTGTTATTGTAAGCAATTGTGTGAATAATGTACAATTACAACACACGTCAGAAAACGCCACGAAGCAACTCCGTTTTTGTTCCAAACATACTGTGAAAATTAGACGTTTAGACTATGTAGCTAACCGTCTTTCATCCTTGATTTGACTTCAGTCTGTCACTGGACAAGTGGGACTAAGTCATAACATTATTAAGGGTCTGAATGTTGCACGTGCTATTGGAGTGGTTTCTCGGCAGTCAGCTACTGGCACTAAATGCATTTTCAATACCAGCATAAACAGAAGCCCCAAAGAAGTTCTATTGTCGGAAAAGGCGACAGAGACAAAGTGTGTGGTGAATGGAAAACTTGCCACTTGGCACATATTACAAAACTGGGTCTGCCGTTTGCTTATAACCAAGTCTCTCGTGGAGGTGTAGTCAGTTCCCTCCTGTGACCTGCTGATGTTCACTGAAGCAAAGGAGGATGAAATTTCTTTCATGTCAAATCATTCTACTTGCGATTTTAGGTAAATATAAAGTATATACCCCATCTCCTTTTGTAACTACTGTACTCTCTCCTTGTGCAGTGTACAAAAGTGATTCTCAGACTTGTCCAGCCTACAGTGGAGGATATACCTCTCAGAGTCCCAGCAGTGGCTCGCAGTCAGTTGGAGTTTATCTAGATGCCCTTCCGAGTCACCTGATCCCTTGTGACGGAACAGTGTATGCCTGGCACTACTGCTACTATCCAACAACCACCAACGAGTCACACTCACTCCCTGATGCCGTTTTTGCCGTCTACCACTTTGACAATTCGTCTGGAAGTTACCTGTTGAGGCAGGGTAGTCGCTATCAGCTGTATCTTGGCTCCAGACAGAATGTGTTCTCCTGTGGTACTGTTCATCTCAACGAATCGGATTATTTCAGAGTGTTTGCTGGTGACGTTGTTGGAGTTTGTCTGACGGAGGCTGGCAGTGCCCAGAATCAGCAGCTGGATATAGTGGCTTCTCATGCGCAGGGGTCTGCCGTCCACTGGAGAACAGTCTCGCATCATTGTGGCCTGTCAGATATTGCACAATCTATCGAGGACTACCAGCAAAACATGCCATACTTTGTCCATCTCTTTGTTGATATAAGTAAGCCCAATCTTTATGCATGCTACTACAGTCTTTGCACTAGCGTAGCCTTAAAGACTCCTGTATATATACTGAGAAAGAGAGCCTAAGAAGATTAGTGTCATCTTGTTTTTCATCCTCATAGATATAAACGAGTGTGTAGTTGGGGAGCACAATTGCAGTGGAACCCACGGTGTATGTAGTGATGTGGTTGGAGGTAGGGACAGCTTCCAGTGCAGCTGTCTGCCTAGATATAGTGGGAATGGTGTGGATACCTGTGAGAACATCAACGAGTGTGCACTGCGTCTGGATACTTGTGACGACACCAGCACTGACTGCGTTGATACTGACGGAAGTTTTACGTGCACCTGCAAAGATGGGTTTGCTAATGATGAAACGGAATCATGTACTAGTAAGTCTACCACATGTGCTATATTTTACATTGCTACCTGGCGTGATATTTGCTCACCGCTCTTGCTGTAAAGATATTGACGAGTGCAGTGTTGGTGTGGTTGAATGTGATGTCAACTCTGACTGTATTGACACCGTTGGCAGTTACAGCTGTCTCTGTAGACCTGGTTACACAGGAGATGGAAGAACACGCTGTTTAGGTATGGGGACAAATTTTCTTTCCACATCCAATGTATATACACTGAATGGAGTAAGGGTACTACCTCACTAGTTACTTTACTTTCTTGAGTTGTGACCCACCTGTTGCTTCACCATGCCACTGATAGATGTAGTCTCGGATGTGGGATGCCTAAGTGCGAGCCAGTGTCCAGAAAACTCGGAATGTGTAGGCACTGGCAAAAACTCAAGCTGCGTTTGCCGAGTTGGTTACACTAGAGACAACAACTCTTGCATTGGTAAGCTTGGATAGAGCATCACTGCCGTGTTATTATACCTTTATGCTTTTATACACAGATATAAATGAGTGTCTACTGACTGAAGGTGGTTGCGATTCCCATTCTGACTGTATCAATACTGCTGGTAGCTTTGGATGCCTCTGCAAACTTGGCTACACTGGCAACGGAATCATCCAGGAAGTAACATCTGTGCTCTATTCAAAATTTTACAGCCAGCTTTTAAATGGCTGTATCTTTTCTTATAGCCTGGTGGCAGGTGGTTGCCATTGTTTTTGATAATCAAGCAAACTGCCTATCCCACCAGAAAATTACAAAATCCCTCTTTTTTGTGCTAGCAAATTCGACACATTTTTCAAGCAAAGCTTTATCTGCAGGTTGGTAGGTATGTATAAATCTACTACAACCCTAACGAGCTGTGAAGTGTTATATCTGGGAATGAAGAGTGGCTATATTATGTATAGGTTTGATGGCAAGTATGCTCTATGAGCGCGCAGCGCGAATAGAGCATACTTGCCATCATCAAACCTACTTGGTATAATTATGTTTCTCCAGCACAATGACTGAATTCCCTATAAGGAAAGCAAAGTGGGTTGATTAGGAAGTAGCTCAGCCCTCTGACTCTGCCCTCTGCTGTTGGTGGTAGTATATACAGCTAAGTGGGTGCTACTACTGCCAATAAATCATACCCTATAATGTGCCGTTGCTGGGGTAACATATACCAAGTGGGTGTGAAACCACCTGCCGCTATTATTACACCCCTAATTCTGTATGCTGTGGTCTCGGGTCTATAAACCAGCAACATACCTCTAAGGGATGTAATAACTAATACATGTGCCTAATTTCTGCAGCCATTCTAGACTGCATAGAGGAGTGTGATATCCATGCCATATGTGTCCACATCAACGGTGGTTCAGAGTGTATATGTGATGTCGGATACACCGGAGATGGCTACACCTGCGCAGGTGGAGTCTAATCTAGCAGTCCATTATTTATTCTTTATGTGCCAATTTTCTATGTAGTCACAGCTACTAGTCGAGGCTCTGAGAGCAATGCCTTGACAATTGGTGCTCTATTTGGAGCTTTTGGCATCTTCATCTTTTTCTTCTGCGTGGCTTCTGTGTTTGCCATCATTTGCTTGAGGCACAAAGGGATTAAGAATGGGCACAAACAGCTTTCCAACACAGGCACTCGTAAGAAAGCTCTTGGTCTTATGTAATCCTACATAACCACATTTGCATAATTGTATGTATTAGTGGAACCTGAAAGCGCAAAATATGAGCGTGGAAAGTCATTTAGCAGACAGGGGGCTAAAGACTTGCAGTCACCAGATCACACGTACAGTAACCCAGAGTATGTGGAGCTACCAGATGGAGTTGTGACTGTTCGTGGCGCCTATGACCATCTCCCACCACTCACCCCACTGGTAGCTACATCCATGGCTCCTGTAGAGGAAATTTATTACTGCTCTACAGGTAAAATCACCTCGTACAAATCAGTCAGCTATTGAGGGGCCCTATCAGGTGACCTAAACTTTAACTATGAACTTTTTGTTAACGTTCTACCTCCATTAAAGGTACTTGATGATGCTGCTAATCAGACCCAAACCCCGGCAATTTATCACGTACGAATCGACATTATCAGTCACATCAAGCTGCAACCATTAGTAATACAACCTCTCTCTACAGGTATTGGAAGACGACAACATGAAAAGGCGCGGAACTCTCATGTACTGCACACCTGCCAACGAAGAGAAAAGGCTCTACTCACAGATAGTTTCGTATATGACGTGAAAGACATCTCTAGCACAAACATCACGTGAGACACATTGAACTGACATTCTGTAGAGTTAATTAATGCTATGTTTTTGTATGCAGGCTGATAGAGACGCTAGGCTCTGGGAATTTCGGTAGTGTGAGTAAAGGACTGTGGACTTCTGAGAGTGGAGTGATGGAGGTGGCAGTGAAGACCCTGACAGACTCGGCCAACACTGTCAAGTTTCTCCAGGAGGCAGCCATCATGGCCCAGTTCAAACACCCCAACATTCTCACTCTACATGGAGTTGTCACAACAACTGAGCCTGTAGGTCGGCCAACATCAAAGTCCACTTTAGGATTTTCATCCCGAGTTTGTGCGTGATGACAGAAAATGATTGTTGTGGAATTGATGCACAATGGAGATCTTAGAGCATTTCTCAAAGATTTGAGGCCAGAGTGAGTATATGATGTGCAAGATCTCACATACATCGGTGCTCTCACACACAGCCCAGGGGAAATGGTGCCCAGTGATATTCCAACACATCTCCTGGAGTTTAGTGTCCAGATAGCCATTGGGATGAACTACCTTGCCTCAAAGGGGTTCATCCATAGAGACTTGGCTGCCAGAAACATCCTCATCTCGAAACATAACATATGCAAGGTGAATCTCACTTTATACACACATACACAAACATGCAAGTTGGTAAAAATTCACACTCTGTTTTAGATTGCTGATTTTGGCATGGCAAGGGATCTGCTGGATGAAAACTATGCTCCCGTGCTGGGAGGGTTCCCGTTAAGTGGTGTGCCCCTGAGGTTATTAACTACATGAAGTACACCACAGCCAGTGATGTGTGGAGCTATGGCTGTGTCCTCTATGAGATATGGAGTCTTGGACACAAGCCATACACAGAACAAACCAATGCCGAGGTTTGTTTTAACTATGGAACCACTATGACTGTGCTAAATGAGACTGTGTTTGCTTTCAAAGGCAATTGCAATGATAACGTCAGGGGAGCACCCTCCTCCACCACCTCCTGGCTGTCCAAAGGCCGTTTATCAGCTCATGGGACAGTGTTGGTGAGTTATGCAGATAGCCAACAATATGGTACACACAAAACGGCACAGTGGTTGCGTTATTATGACGACGGCTGTCGAAGTAGGAGACGGAGAAGGTTTGGGAAGACTGTCAAAGTAGGAGGAGAAGAACGTTAGGGGCGCAGGCACAACACAAATTACACCATACCCCAAACGTTTTTTATGCTCTATAATCTATTATCACCACAGGAACATGACTTCATCTGAGAGACCATCCTACACAGAAATATTGAAAGTACTGACTTCCAAGAAGGAAGATGTTCTGGCCATCCCTCCAGAGGAGGTCGAGGAAGGCCATTCACTAGCTATGGTGCTTGGGGCACCTCTGGAGGCTGGGAAACATTTGTATGAAAATTTGCAGCACTGACTCATATCACAACTGTAGTATACATTGTACAAAACCAGTATTGTCTGCTGTACACACTGTTATGTGAAAATAGATTTTATGAGTGTGTGAGCATTTCATGTGTTTCACTTGAGTTGCTCCAATTTGTAAGTACTCTGAAGGTCTTGGTAGAGATGAGAGGCTCTGTCCAGAGGAGCTCCCAGGACAGCAGCCTGGCTGTCAGCTGGCACATCTTCAGGAGGTATGGCCAGTATCTGCTCAACATTCCCCAGTAGAAGCTTTACAATCTCCCTCGACTGAGGTCTGCTTGATGGCTTTGGGTGCCTGGGATGTTGTAAAAGGATGGAGTTATATTATATGCTGCTGTCACAGTTCATATACCATGTGTCTATCATGAGTTTGTAGATCGTCTTGGGACATCCAGGGGGAGGAGGGAGACGGTACCCTTTCTTTATAAGTTGCATCACCTGCGAAAATACGACCAAATATTCCCATCCCCTACCAGCCGGCGTGGTATTAAGACTTTGCTAGGTACCTGCTTGGATTGGTTTGCCTCAAACGGCTTGTGTCCAAGACTCCATATCTCATAGAGGACACATCCATAGCTCCACACATCACTGGCAGTAGAGTACTTTCTGTGGAAGATGGCCTCTGGAGCACACCATTTTAGTGGGATCTTTCCCCCACGAGACACGTATATGTCATCTTCCACTACAGCTAGATCACGCGAGAGCCCAAAATCAGATATCTGTAATGTACAACATTAGTGACACGCCCTGACAACATCCATACATGTTGCATTTACCTTGCAAATGTAGTTCTGTGAGACCAGTATGTTCCTGGCAGCCAAGTCTCTGTGGACAAATCCCCTGCACGAGAGGTAGTGGAGACCCAGAGCCACTTCTTTGGAGAAGTCCATTAGTTTCAATGGAGCATTCTGCATTAATGGCTGCTCTGACCTGCATTGTGGGTATAATACAGTGAATCTGATTTTGTAAGATAATGAATGATGTATATACGTTGGTCTCATTCCTGTAACGACTGATTTCAGCTCTCCATTGTGCATTAGCTCCAACACAATCATCTTCTATAAGTGAACACTGGTAATAGATGTTGCAAAGAGTGTCTGAACTTACAAGCTCTCCAGCACTGACAACTCCATGTAGAGTGAGAATGTTGGGGTGTTTGAACTGGGCCATGATGGCTGCCTCCTGGAGAAACTTTACAGTGTTGGCCGAGTCTGTCAGAGTCTTCACTGCCACTTCCACCGTTTCTTCGTCTCCGTCAGTCCACACTGCCTTGTTCACCTTACCAAACTGACCAGTGCCCAGTCTTGAAACAAACCTATAATATAAACATGCGTGTAAACACACAATGATTCCCATGAGGTAGTTTATCACGTACTCCAAATTCTCTCTGGAAATGTTTCTGATGTTGTAGGAGCCCAGTTGTGCATAGAGACTCTCTTGTTTGCTGGCTGGAGCCTGATAAGGTGATAGGGCCTCATAGACGTGCTGCTCGACCGTCTGCATTCAATGGTAATAGTAAGTGTAACTCCCATTGTATGGTTGTAGCTGCTGTCACAACTTACTCGTTGAATCAAGCTTGCGTAAGCACCGCTCTCTCCTGAATCTGTGCCCTGCATAAGAGTGAATTGATATATAGTCATCACAATACAGTGAGTGCCATGTGTAAAAAGTTTAGTGATGGACACAAAAATATTATGAGGATGTGTGCAAACAAACCTTCCCAACTTCCAGTTTCACAGAAGGAGCTGAAAGCATTGCCTCGTACTGAGGGGAGTTTTTAAGTGGCGGGTCGAATTTGCATGGCAAGCTTTGTACGGGGACCTCGTAGTCAGAGGTAGGTACTACTGAGGAGGTCTGCGCTGGAAGAGGAGTCTTGTTCACTGTCTCGTATTCATTGTCCACTGGTTGTCCAGTTGCAATTACATAGTCATAATCATGGTCCTCATCTGGAACTTTGGCCAATGTGTCTGTCCTCTTACTGGTAGTAACTCTTCTTAGATCTGCAAAGAATGAGTGAGTTTGGGGATTTATCGTCACAAGAGGCAAAGGTCCATTGGACGCCTTACCTATGGTTCTGCCTAGAGCTTGCTCTATCCTTTGTCTTGATAGATAGAGGATGATTGAGGTTACGACAACAGCTATGATCAGGAACACGACGACAAAAGCAGCCACGATGGCTCCCACAACGCTATCATTTTCCTGCCCCCTTCTCTTGCTATTATCCGGAGGTGTGATGCTGACATTAACCTCATTGTTGGATGTCGGTCTATCATTACTACTTGTCCCCACTTCAGTTGTTCCTTCACTGCCCCCACCATCACCTACTTCAGTTGCTGTACTCACCTCAGCCGCTCCTTCACTGTTTCCTGGAGAGAAAGAGTATATGGTAGCCTGGAAGACAGAGGAACGGCTTATTTGGATAAAGTTGTAGGTTTATAAGGTAGTGATTGCACAATTCTGTAGTAGTGTGGTGTATCAGTTCCCATGACCTGATGCACCCAAAGGGGTAGAAGGTATTATAAAAGGAAACACGAAAGTATCGTGCGACCTGATGTAGCTAGATGGAGATCTATATACTTTAACAGGGATTCTTTTTCAAACTGCCAGTTGTGCAAATTGAACTATCCACACAATATGGGTTGCTAAGTTGCTGAACATCATTATATTATACTGACAAAAGGGGGGAGTAGCTCACCAACACAAGAGAATCCATCTCCAGTGAATCCAGGATTGCAGGTACAGTTGTAGCTGTTCTCTCCTCCCACCACATCAGAACATGCGGCATTCTCATGACACATGGCCTCTCCAAGTAAGCATTCATTTATATCTGTGAAAATCAAGTGAAACACGCAACCACTAGGCTATCTTTGAGAAATGCTCACCTATGTACACGGACAAGAGAAGTGCCACCTCTCTTCTTGGGGATTGGTTAGAAACCTGAGCAATATTTATCAAGCAGGATTCGGTGGATAGTATCTCAAGTTCCCTCTCCGTGTTCTCGACTACTAGTTCCAGTGTGTTTTCAGAGTCCTCTTCATAACACACTCCAACCACATCTCCCCTCTTGACTCTGAAATACTCTGAAGGCTCCAGTATATAATCAAGACACTCGAGGTCATATTCTTCATTGTATTCAAAGTCATTATCGCTCACAATGAGCTCTCTGTAGCTGCCATCCACCACGGTAAAGACTGAGCTTACTCTGTGGTACATTGCAAGAATCACTTCAGGATTCGGGACATTGCTTCTCCGGGCTCTACATATGTGCCAACCGTACACCTGCCCGTCACACTCGGCAGGATCTTCCCTGTTCAGAAAAACTGTATTGCTGCCAACTTCAACGGCGTCTTCGTCAGTCGGTATATTAATGCTGCCGGCTTGACACGACTGTGCCGAAGACTGGGCCCTACTTGATGCTGAATTTCGTGTATAGACGTGATTAGGTGCTTAAACAAATTTATTGAAAGGACGTACCTGCTAAATATGTTGTTAGAACGAGACAAATCTGCAGCAAGATCCTCATTCTGTCTTCGATGGCGACTACTTCGGGGCCGGCCGGGGAGAGAGAGTTGAAATAACAGCGCGCATGCGTGGACTGGGTGGCGGCGGAGGGGCGTGGTTGCGTAGCCTAGAATTAAAGAGGAGTGCAGGCCAGGTGCAGTGACAGGGTAGCGGGGTATCCATCATGTTTTCTACCGGGTGAGTTCCCCCCAGTGAACCATTTCGACCTATCATAGCCCGTACAACTATAGATTTATCGCCCCGGCCCCCCTCACAGGAAGCTAGCTGGGTGTACTCTGTTCATCACTGGGGCGAGCCGTGGGATCGGGAAGGCCATAGCTCTGAGAGCCGCTAGGGACGGAGCCAACATCGTCATCGCTGCCAAGACGGCCGAGCCTCACCCTAAACTGCCTGGGACCGTTTACACTGCTGCCGAGGAAGGTGATGAAAAGCCCATGTGTGTAGCTGTGAGTCTTTAGCAGTAGCTAAACATGTCACTGTCTATAGTTATCTACATTCCCTACATACATTGTCCACAACAGCCACACTAGCATTGGAGAAGTCTGTCACTAAAATTACCTGGGCAAATCCACAGCCGTTGCTAAAAATGCTATAGTTCACATTACTTGTTGCTGCAGTGGAGAAGGCAGGGGGGAAGTGTCTGCCGTGTGTGGTGGACATCAGGGACGAAGGGCAGCTGGAGAATGCTGTACAACAGACCGTGGACAGATTTGGTGGCATTGACATTGTTGTTAACAACGCGAGTGCCATTCACCTCACAGGCACAGTTAATACTCCCATGAAGAGGTCAGTATACACCTTTATAAGACGTGGCTTGGTGCAGCGTTTCACTGCATATGTACCGTGTAATGGATCCATGTTTAATCTGCACATACATACAGTTTTGTGTTTTTTTATAACACAGATATGATTTGATGATGGGAGTGAATGTGCGCGGAACCTTCCTCACGTATGTTTCTTCCTTTATTCTTCCCACTGCTAGCTAGCTAGCTACCCTGCTTATGCTGGTGTGTGTATCTGTACAGGTCAAAGTTGTGTATCCCTCACCTGCACAAGAGCTCCAATCCTCATATCCTCAACATCAGTCCACCACTCAACATGAGTCCCCGCTGGTTCTCTGACCACTGTGGTCAGTCCTCATCACCACACACACTCACACACGATCCTAATTCTAAATCCACATTCATGTTTCCCGTTGTTAAGAAGAATCTCCCGTTCATATTCAATAAAGTATTTTTTGTGCTCCATCCTGTTTACTCCCTCGTTGATCTTTCATATACGACAAGTACGAGCTGTTACAGGGTATAGTTTTTTCCTTTGCCTGGCTTGTGACATTGTTGGTGTTAACTAATGTTAAGTGTAATTAGTCCACATTTTACATTTTCCACCACCACGAGCAAAGAGACAACAGAGCGATATCAACAGGTTCAGCGGCTACACTGGCTTGATCTTGATAGCAATATGCAAATTAGCACGGGCTTACCTCGACCAGATCCGCTTGCTTTGCATGCCTTGGAGGCACTAGAAGTTGCAATGCAGGGTGAGTATCGACTCCTGCAGAGTGTTGTGGGTTCGAATCCCACCTCTTTATTTTTCCTTTGGAAAAAAGAGCTGTCCTGGGTGTAATTGATTTGTTTGTTGTGCCTTTGCATTTGTACCTCATAGTTTCCACATGCTATCTAGTAGCTAGCTAGTGAATTGTGCTGTATTGAACTTTGCCCCTGCCATCTGATTGATACTTACACTGCTATATAAATTTCCCTATTCAAGTATTGGGTGTGGTCTGATGGATAAAGACCCACACTCTAGATCGTAAGGTCCAGGTTCGATCCCGGGCTAAAGGTGTTTTTTTATAATGATGTAATATGAGTGTTGATATAAGAGGAACGTTTTTTCATCGACTCTCGTGGCCAGCCCAAGTGGCTAAGTGGTTAGAGACGTGGGGACTGTCACATAAGGTGCCCGGTTCGAATCCCGGACCCGCACTGAAACTGACAGGTGGTCCAGAGCATTGGCTGGGAACAGCTCTGGTTCCTCCCCTTACCCACGAATCTACCACTGACCCACATACTCAAAGGGCAGCGTATAGTTCGGCATAGCACTGCGTCCGTAGACGTCTGCCTGGATAGATGGAGGGGCTGGCCCAAATTTTTTTTTCAACCTTAGAATTTATTGTTTTGCCTAAAACAATCCATGGATAGGTTGAAATGGTGTATAACATTCAGCTGTATGTTTTTCCTGCATGTCCAGTAATGTTATACATGTCAACATATCTTTTTCGGACTAACCCACACCTATGCAAATTATACCTAACAATGTCTTTGGTCAGAAGAATGTACTGCCACAAAGCAACCAATTTAGTTAATGTGGTGACGATTACGCACTTTCAAGTGTGTTCAGTAATCCTCGGTGAGTTATAGTCTTGGTCTGAGTGCCCATCCATCTGTGTATTTCCATGTGAAAACAGGCGAAAAACCAATATGCCATATTGCACTGGCTTACATACCTCGACCTGATCCGCTTTCTCTGTGTACCTTGGAGGCAGAAGAAGTCACAACGGAGGGCGTGTATCGACTCACGCATGCATGCTATCTACTACTGTTGCTAGCCTTTGTCAGACTCTCCGTGAGCTACACGAGTAAAAAAAACCCACACACTCCTATCCCAGCTCATCAATTAGTGGTACTGTGCACCTTAGTGCTTTCTGTCATGTGAGATGCTGTTAGACTGTGTTGTGTTCCTGCAGCCTACACGATGGCCAAGTACGGAATGTCCATGTGTGTGTTGGGTATGGCTGAGGAGCTGAAGGAAGATGGTATTGCTGTCAATGCCCTCTGGCCTCGCACAGGTATATCACACATTATAATTATGAGATTTAGAGTGTAAGGCAACAGAAAGCAATGTGGAAAGAGAAGTCCAATCAACTACCTTAACTATGTGCAGTGATCTTCTGTGAAGACTATTACGATGTAACCTTTTGCTAGCAAATTGAAGCCTATATAACTATAAGTATCTCCAGAATGCAGCATCTGAAGAGATACTAATATTGACGAAAAAAGGGCTGCCTAAACTTTTCAAAAAGGAAAGAAAGAACAGGCCAATCCAACATTCACTAATTTTTGGGTGGCCTAAACTTTTCGTACTTTTTTCAAGCGAATTGAGAAAAGAACGGGCTAACCACCCATTCTATATATCTTCACAATAGATGGAAAACGCAGTGTAATCTCTAGGGTGACCTAACTAAAAAATAGAGCAGGTTAACTACCCATAACTGTAATTAAGCAAGCACATAAGGGAGAAGAAAAGGACAACGAACTACCACAAAATCACGAGGCTTAAACTTTGGCAGTTTTCGTACTTTATGCCAGCACATAGGGAAGAGAACAGGAAAACTAACTATCCTTAATACCTTTACTATAGCTGGAGGATGCAGTGCAAATAATTCTAAGTAAATAGGGTGGCCTCGTATTCTTTTGCCAGAGGGTGGCCTAAACGTTTTGTACTTTTTGCTAGCACATCGGGAAAGAAACAGGACAACCAACTCTTCTGAATACCTTTACTATAGCTGTAGAATGCAGTTGAAATAGGGTGGCCAAACCATTTCGTATTTTTGCTTTTTGCAAGCACGGTGGGAAAAGAACAGGACAATCAACGTTAGGAAACCCATTATCCTCTAGAGAAGTATTTGCACTTTAGACTCAAGGTACATAGATAGTTCATTTACCTGCCTTTCTCTCCAGTTGTTCTTAGCTACAGTATGAAGTTGAGGTCACCAATTTTTCACGAGGAATGCTTGCTGTAGACGTACTGTTTGTTATGATGTTCTGTATGGTCTATTGTCAGTGGGCAATACAGTAGATCTTTTCACTTTCACTCCAGCCATCAGTACAGCTGCTCTGGAAATGCTGGCTGGAGATGTCGGTGTACAGATGTCTCGTAAGCCAGACATCATGGCCGACGCAGCGTACCTCATCCTGACTCAGAACAGCCGGGACTTCACCGGGAACTTCCTCGTTGATGACGATGTTCTCAGAGACCACGGAGTGACTGACCTCGACCAGTATGCCAATGTTCCAGGTAGCGAGCGCTATTGTTTGTTACAATGTTGCCAGTGTATGGTTAGTGAACATGTATGAGCAAGTTGGCTACCCCTACTTGTACTGTATTACACTTAAGGATATATTTTGAGTAGCCTACGTTTGCCGGTTGAGATTTACCCTAGTGTTGGAATTGGTTAGAATGAACTCTGAATTGATGGAAGTTTAACTCTAACCACTCAGGGGGTGAGCTTCTGCCCGATTACTTTCTTGACGAGGCTGAAAGTTTCAAGACCCAATGGACATCGGGAAAAGGAGCAGAAGCCGCTGAAACTCCGCCTACTCCGGGGGACCCCAATACTCCAGCAGCTGTATTTGAAGTGGTACAAACTCTACTGAGCCCCGAAATCACCTCGAAGGTAAACGCCACCTTCCACTTTGTCCTGGACGGGGAGAACCCTGGTCATTGGCTCCTTGATTTGAAAAACGAGAGCGGGTCGTGCGGCGAGTGTTCTCCCGAGACGGAAACAGACGTGACAATGACGACAAACTCTCAGCTGATGGTGGACATGTTCAAGGGGAAGGTGGGAGCTACGGGGGCCTTTATGAGTGGGAAGCTCAAGATCAAAGGGAACCTGGCCGCTGCCATGCAGTTGGAGACTCTCATGGGCAAAATGAAGTCCAAACTGTGAGATGACATTGGAATTGACAAATCTATGTATAATATTGTATTAGTACATTTTTCTGCAATGTGAATTGAGATATGGCATAAGATAAAGATCCCATATTTGTGTTACCACATGGCGAACTGATGCGTTTAATTCCGCGGATTAACCACAAGCTAAAACAGGGGGTGCTATTGTGCATGACATAATAATAATATGCTATCCCATTCCGCGGTACTTTTGACCATTGTTTATGTAAGGTAAATAAAAGCAATAATTATTATTAAAAAGACAGTTTAATACATGTGCTTATAAATATCCCTGTCTTTATGTGTAAATTCAGAAATCTGCAAAAGAAAAAGCCAACAATTGATTGCTACAGGGTTTAGAGTACTCGATACCTTGTGTTGCAGTCATTTTTTCAACCAGTGCCCCGAGTGTATTACCAACCACTTTTGCAGCCAGGAACAGTTCATTACCCAGATCCGTTGGAAACACTGCAGACAGGACGTGTACGTACACCTTACATACAAACTCTTGTCTGTGTTAGCAGCATGTACGAGTAGTACGAGGCTATCAGTTACTTTCAAGGTTCTATCTCTCCCACAATAATGTATAGGGGCACAATTTACCGTAGCTTTAGCAACTGGTTATGACTTTTAAAGCAAGGAAACAGGCGGAAGATCCTTCACTAAGTCATGCACTGTGGGCTCGCTCTTACTAGAATGTGTTGCATTCACTAGCACTCTGTGTGTTCCAGTCTGATAGTTAGTGTACCTCCAGTGGAGTGTGGAGGAGGGAAGGCAGTGAGCAGGTCGGCCAGGATGCTGTCCAGCTCCTGCTGCTCTCCCAGGAGAGTCGTGGACCACTCTCGCGGTGAGTGGGTCCCACTCGATGATGTCATCTCTCCCAGTAGGAGGGTGTTGACTGCTTGTGACTTGGTGTCCACAAATGGCGAGGCTGAAGGAAGGGGTACAGATACAAAGTTGCGAGAAAGAGCTATTATTACTTAACTATCCAGTTCCCTCAATTTTGCATTAATGAAAAGTAGGTATTGCTGTAAATACCTTGCAAGGGTATCTTTGGTGGTGGTGGTGGGATGGCAAATGGTACCTTCACTTCCTATTATGTGAAATCAAACATCCTCTGACCTCACACAAAACATAGTCACAATCATAGTGCATTCAGTAGAAATGTATATAACACGTTGTGTGAAATGGCAAAGAATGTCACAGGTATCTGTAGTTCACATGATTTCTTTCTAGGGATATGTAGCACACTTTTAACAACTTAACCCAGTGTGTGTAGGTTCCATTTCCAGCTGATGGGTTTTCCCTGACCTTAGGTTTCTTAAGGAGGAGGTGAGTGAGTCTCTCCACCTCAGCCATCAGCTCCTGGTTCCTCCCCTGGAGTCCAGCCATCTGTCTCTCAATCTCCTGACTGGCAAGTTCCGCCTCTTGTCTTCCTCTGGCCTCAACGCTTGCTAGCTCCTCTGCCTCCTGCCTTCCCCTAGCTTCGATTATTGCCAACTCCTCTGCTCTCAGTCTGGCCTCCGTGTTCTCGCCAGCCACACCTCTACACATTACATCATCACGATGGTAAGGACACAAATCAGTTGGTATACAGTAACTGACCTCTGTTGATGTGCAGTAGCTGAATCAGTCCCTTCTTCATCTGGCTCTGATTCTTCCTCCAATGCTAGCAACCTGAGTCAAATCATAACATCAGCTCTAGAGGGGCTTAAGGAATCCTCTGTGCTAATACTGCTATTGAGTTAGAGTACATTGGTGTAGTGTAGTGATTAAGGTATACTGAATCCAACCTCTGTGCCATGTTGCTGATTCGAGTGTGGACGTTGTTGAAGACTAGACTCTCCCCAGTGTCCCTGTCTGGCCCATCATCCCCTCCACCCTGGATGGTGTAGTCCAGATATGTCTTCTTGGGAGGCCTGCGACGATACTTGCGAGTCAGCTTGTTCTTGAGCTGCTTTGCAAAGTCCTTCACATCATCTCCCGTCGTTGTCTGTGCGCATGTGTGTGTTGTGTATGTTTGTGTGTGTGTACATTGATAAATAAACCAGGGAGGCGGTATCATAGCAGCCTGACTTACAGCAAGACAGTACTCTCTTGTGGGATGTGTTATCTTGTGGTCTTTCACTGTATTGCTCTGCCTCCAGAAGCATACCTGTCAGTGGGTGTCAAGTGCATACATGCATCATCAGAATAGTGAAACGTAAACAATACCTGGCAGATGTCCACGTTACTGCACTTCAAACATCGGTACCTATATAAAGTATATACCAATATTATGATTATTACTAGACATACAGGGCGGGTGTAAGTAAGTATAAAGTACATACCTTATGCCCACAATGGGGAAGGTCTTGCATACACTACATGTTGCCTCATGCTTCACTGCACACATTGTGGAGAAAGAACAGTGAATAACATTTGGCTGTGAATCATATTATGTGTATGTATACGTATGTGTGTGGTCAGTTCATTTGTATCTTGCTATAAATATATTTAAAGCATAGTCAGGGGTGAAGGGACAATTAAATTGAGGTGAAATGATGTTGCTATTCCACCCTCCAGCTACATGCAAAGTATTAGGGATGTCACATCCCCGCAAAAAATGCAAAACGATTGAAACTCGTATTGGGAAGGGTAAAGGGGTGGGGTGAAGGGAAAGTGAAATAAGGACAGCATAAAAAGTGTGCTACTATTCCACACTCCAGCTATATTCAAAATACATATTTGGGATGGTTGCTTTGTCATTTCATAAACTTATAATATGTCCCTGAGTTTAAACCCAGAAAGCAATAAGGGAGGGTGGGGCGGAAGGACAGCAAGTGAAATGGTGTTGCTATTCCACCCTCCAATTTTAGTCAAAGTATTAGGGATGGTCGGTTTGTCATTTCATTCACTCACATCCCCGTAAAAAATGCAGAACGATTGAAACTCCTATTGGGAAGGGTAAGGGGGGTGTTGTGAAGGGAAAGTGAAACAAGGACAACATAAAAAGTGTGCTACTATTCCACACTCCAGCTATATTCAAAGTATTTGGGATGGTTGGTTTGCCATTTCGTAAACTTATGTCCCTGAAAAAAAAGCAAAACGATTCAAACCCTTATTGAGAAGCCAATAACGAACCACAGACCAGTTTCAGAGGTGGCGATGCGGTAGAGAGTGGGGAACCAGACAAGCGAGACCGGCTCTCTCTTAACCCACATCCAGAACTCATCTCTCGTCACATACTCCAGTGTCTGCTTCCCATTCTATAAATATGCAGGGACCAAAACTCAATAAACATACCCTCTCAAATTCCAGGGGCAAACCCCACATGTTACTCACATAGTTCCAGCAGCTCTTTGCCGTGTCAGCAGCAGCATCCACAGAAAACACTTTAGTCTCTCCAACATTGTGAGGTAGCTACACAGATATTATAGATCCACAGGGTAAGACCCTGACAATCTAAGGGTATATAATATTGAACCTGCAGAAGGTCTTGTATGATGATTTTAAGGTTTGAGAAAGATATTTGGTTCTGGTCACTACTCATCAAGTCAAAGACAACTACGATAGGGAGAGAGTGTGAGGACTAGAAGGTTTGGAGTGTATGCAAGAACTCACAGGCATACTTTTCCTGAATCGTGGCATGGCACAAAGCCACAAGTCCAATCATTAGAGAGTGTACCTTCACCACACCTGTCCGCCCACTGCATGTATATACATGTATGTATGTACATAACTAGCTCATAGTTAGGATAAGAGAGTACTCGCCTGTCGTAGCACTTGAGGATCCAACTGAGGGTGATATCCGTGTACAGCTCTGGCTCAATTTCTGGCCGTCCTGCCTGTTTCTTCATCACTTTACTGATGGCCCATGAGGGAAGCTGGCACGGGGAAAGGAGAGCTACACTAAATTCCCAAAATGCCATGTGAAATTGCTAATCTAAGAAGTTATTAGTTGTAGCACTACGTGGTAATATGTTTTATTATCAACACTCTAGGGAGGTGTTACTAACTCATGCTGTTATATACCAGTGAATAGTTGTAGCCTCCTGGGCCGTCCTCTCTGGCGTTGTTGAAGACCTTGGTGAGTAAGGCCTCCACCTCCACCACCTGGAGGACCTCGTTGCTCTGGTCGCGATGGTAACCCAGCTCTCGGAATGCTCTCTCCAGGGTCCCCAGGTTCACATTGCACACTGGTAGACAGATGGGATGTTGCAGATGTGTGTTTTGTGCATAGATGTGTGTGAATTACAAGGTCAAAGCTAGTGCAAAGATAAAGGACTGTACCCCAGGTTTATAGGAGTAACATATTAGCGACTGAATACAGGGGCATGCCTGGGATTACCTAGCTACTTACACTGGGTCCCGTTTTGAACTTCTCTCAACTTCATTGCAGTCCTGTATGCTGCGTACTTGAAGCGGTTGATTTCACCTGTACACGTGGGGAGACAAGAGAGGGAGGGTGCCAGATGCTTTAGTAGCTAGTGGATTGTTCATTTACCAAAGCCATCGGAGAGCAGCGACGAGAGGGCTGGGTGCTCCCACTGAGTAGTTCCATCACGGTGGCTGTTGCCAACATCAACAATTGATAGGTCTACGGGTGTACTACAACTCACTTTATGTAGTAGGGTATCCCGCCGTTCGTCTCGGATCTCTCCCACTCGTCTGGAAGAGCTGTAGCAGCCATTAGTCTGAGCTAACTCTCAAGCTTGAAAAGGGGCGGGCCTTTTTGCTTGCAAAAACGCGCACGTCTGAGCCCCACCCCTTTCGGTGTTATCTACAGCGCATGCGCACGAACGACGCAGTCCCATGACATTGCTTACGCGTCGCGCTCGCGACGGCTTGCTGCAGTAACGGACTTGTGCAAGCTTGAGTTTGGCAGCAGGATGGACCACGAGCTTAAACCGAGTGCAGTTAGACTCAATGCGGATCTAACGAAACCCAGATACGACCAGAACACTTTTTGGGGTATGTATGCGAATGTGGTCGTTCAATTAGCTTCTCGCTACATCAGCAATACTGTATATGGTCCGTAGGTAGATACAGGCATTTTCGAGAAACAGCTTCTGTTTCTAACGCGTTCGCCTCTAAAGACAAAATTTACCAAGCGGAAAAGCTGATTCGTCAGTACAGGTAAACGATGTAGCTAGTAGCTAGCGGAGTTCCGAACTCGACTTCAGCATCGTACGGTTGTTTACCCGCCGTAGAGAAGACGGAACGGTTCCTGAAGGAACGACTGAAGATGCTCTGTGGAAGGCCAAGAGGCTGTATGACTCGTCTCACCACCCGGAGACGGGGGAGAAGATATTCATCATGGGCAGGATGTCCTTCCAGGCGCCGGGGAACATGATCATAACAGGACTGATGAACACGTACCGCAGGTAAAGAGAATTCTATTTTAGATACTGTGATGAATTCATCAACCTACCAGATGGGGACAATTGTAAACATACATATATAGAAAATGCTGACACGAGCTGCAGAGCCCATCTGTCTATAATTGTGTTTTCCGGCTCATTGCCTGCCCTTCGGGTGAATACCTGCTCTGGGTAGCTCCCTATACACTTGAGTACAGGATAGTGACTTCCATTATGAAACTGTACACTAAATCAGAGTAGTTATGTAGCTAACTAGCTAGCCTGCTAATTTTTATTTCTACAGCAACATCCCTCAAATGTTTCTGCAATTCCTAAACCAGTCGTTTAACGCTGTCGTCAACTTTTCCAACCGTGGTGGCGATGAAAGAGCCGATACAAGGTGCAGCTCCTCTATAGCCTGATATAATACACTCACGTATCCTTATTGTCCCACACACATACAGACACCTGCTCCTTTCATTTCTCATTGCTGTCGGCACAGCGACAACAGTTGCATACACTCTTCCACGTACAAGGCTACTGTCAGTGAAAGTATGTAGATGTTTTTTTAAATTTTTTATGGATGTGTAGTCTGTTGGCTTCTGTTGTTACATGTAATAGATAAGTTTGTAAATGGGGGAACATACATGTATGTGTAGCATGTCACAGTTGTGGATACATACTGAATTGCAGTTGTATTGTCACACCCATACACTGTAGTGCAGCATTCTCTCAAATGTAGTTTAAAAAATGTCATTTCCAGCTAAAACACTATCCAATGGTAGAGCGAACTGTGCCACTGATGGCTGTCATCTCTGCCAATGCCATCAACATACCACTCATGAGGAAAAAGTGAGTCTCATCTTTTCACAATGCACTGTAACCAACTGTTGACCAATCAATGGGCAATTTGTATTACTTGCACGCAGTGAGTTGAGCCAAGGACTTAAAGTGGTTGATGAGCATGACAAGAAACTAACGACATCAAAGGTATTGGGAAATATTGAAATGTCATCAGGCATCTTGTTGGTGCTACAGGTAGCTGCGAGGTATGGAGTGAGTCAGACTCTTCTATCACGGATCCTCCTAGCTTCAGTTGTGATGGGTAGGCACTTTGCATCTCATGTTACATACACAATCTTGAATTTCACAGTACTTGTAATGTATGACCAATGTATACTGAGTGGAGAATGATCTGTGCATGTATAAATATCTCAGGACTTCCAGCAGGCATCATGTACACTTTTGAAAAGACGACTCTTTTTAAGGTACAGCTGGCTAGATATGGTAACCTCTGTCTATGATGGAAGACATGTTTCTGATGCCGCAGATTGCCGCTAGGATACCTGCCTTCAATCCAATGGCTCAAATAGTTCTGGTGGGCCTCAGGTGAGATCTTGTCACCTGTCAAAACATAAGTCAATGACTTGTTGTCTCTGCTCAGTCTGGTGATTGGAGTTCCACCATGTCTTGCTGTGTTCCCTCAAAAGGGGTAAGCTTACTTCAACAGGTGTAGCTGACTTTACTTACAGAGCATAGCTTTCGCTGGTAGAAGGTGTAGCTAATTGACCTCATATTACAGGAGTCTGCCAGTGAGCTCTCTTGAGCCAGAGGCACGTAAAGCAGTGAGGAGCTGCAACCCTGACATACAGACTGTTTACTACAACAAAGGACTGTGACAGATCTTTTATATATGCACAGAGATTTTTATTCCACTAGGTTACTACTAGTATATAAGTAGTAACCTAGCACTCTCCTTTTTTATCGCAGTAGAAAATGCAGTGGGCGGTGTTTTGCGCATGCGCAATAACCTGAAGCGTGGTCGTCGTCACACACACCCGGTACCCGCTCGCTCGCCATGCGAAAGGAGTTCCTGTTCCCAAAGCTGCTCTCGACGGCTAACTGGTTCCCCGGGCACATGGCTAGAGGTACCAGACACTAGAGATGGCACTGATCAACTGAGACACCGTTGGTCCGTGATCAGGTCTCAGGGTCATGAACAGAAGGCTCCAGGACTGCGACTGTGTACTTGAGATACATGATGCCAGAGTACGAGTCGATAATTTTGTATCTGACAGTGTCTGTATATACCTTACCTGCAGTTTCAATTTCTAATCCTGTGTCTAAATAATATGTTCCTGTTAGTTTTCTCAATGATTTTAGATTCCGTTAACACAGATTCCATTCTCCGGTCGTAATCCCAAGTTCAGTGAGATGGTGAGCAGGAGGCCAAAGATACTGGTGCTCAATAAGATGGATATGGCAGACAGCAGTACACTGGAGGTCATGCGTAACATAGTTTGCTCTGACATGCACATGCTGCACTATGTGTGCATTATGTAGAGCATGCAAATGTATGTGAGTTGTTATAATGATGCATACAACAGGATGTGGTCCAGTGTCTTCGTGAGAGAGGAGAGAGAGAAATTGTCTACACTGACTGCCAGTTCCAGCACCATCACTCCATTCCAGAGGTGTAGTTTTAACCCTCTGCGTTCACTTAGCTACCAGAGCCAACTATCCTGGTTTCATACATACTTTTACGGGCAAACATCTAGGAATTTTAAGGGGAAAAGCGTTCTGGAAGTGTTGCAAGTATTAGGACAAACTAGATAAGTGGTGTACGTAAACTACCGAATTGTGGACTGCATAGCTACAGGTGACTTTGAAGTTTAGTTGGAGACAGTGACTGCATCTTTTTTTCAGCTAATGGACAGGATAAAGAGTGCTACTAACTTGGATGTTGAACAAGTTGAAGAGAGACCAGTGAGTAATTTCACCTTTATTAACAGGAGAGTACTGTAGAATAAAAGGAAGGGCGTATATATATCAAGTCCCACATGCTATCCACTCTCCCTCTCCCTCTCCCTCTCTGGGTTTCTTCTTTCTACATGTGAAACATGTATGAGGTTTGTCAGTAAGGCAGAGGCTAGTGTAGCTTGCCCGTATCAGGCTCTCTGTGCTAGCTACTATGTAGCAAGAGACAGCCACGAAACGAGTAAATCGATAATGCATATATAGCCGGCCCATGCAACTGGATTTAATGTTTCTAGAGCGCCGAGAGTTTGCAGTTTAGTGCTTTTCATTCATAATCACCGTAGGAGAGTATTAAACTGATGCTGATGGGAGTTCCAAATGTGGGGAAGTCCTCACTCATTAATGCGCTAAGGAGAAGATACCTGAAAAAAGGTGACTTAAAACGTGAGTGGTGATGTCTAAACCTTGTTTTGGCTTCTTTAGGGAAGGGCACACGAGTTGGGGCAACCCCTGGTATAACGAGGGGAGTATTGGGAAAGATCTCAGTGAGAAAGTCATCATAATATACGTAGCTTTGATTTTCATCATCCTAGGTCTCAGATAGTCCAAAGATGTTTGTACTGGACACACCAGGTGAAAATTACCGTCTGCACGTGTTGCTATTGTGAAATATTGTGAATAATGACCACACCAGGGGTGATGACTCCTAGTATTCCTAGTGCCGAGGTTGCAATGAAACTTGCCCTTGTAGGTAAGAGTTCCTTCACACTATCTTCACCTTTACTCTGCATTCACTATATTATACATATGTAGGAACCCTGCCAGATCACTTTATAGGTGAGAGACTAATTGTTGACTACCTCCTCTATAAACTCAACCAGTGCCAATTGTACAGGTAATGTGTGCACAAGCTCTAGACTAATCTCACCAAAGGCCCCTACAAATTTGCTGTAATGCTGCTGTTTCTCAGCTATGTAGACTTCTACAGGCTCCCTGAGCCGTGTGATGACATACATGTTGTCCTGGATTCTATCGGGAAAAGAATTGGAGGACTCACAAAAGGTCCAATAATAACAGGGGAGAGTCCGTTAGAGTTCTGTTATATCACTACGCAGGCGGAGTGTATGACCATAATAGGTCAGCAAGACACTTCCTACAAATGTACAGAGATGGTAGACTGGGAAATATGACTTTGGACTCGCACACAACACCTGACCGATCAGTCATTCATTCACGTTGATAACCGCGCATAGCTATCAACATCTTGAAACCACTGCAGTCAATCATCAATTAAAAACTGGCAATCAATCATTCATTTTAGTGAGTGAAAACTGGAGCCTGTCACAAGTGTCTGTTCCACGCTCTCGGTTGTTTGAAGACCCAGCCAGTTTGGCCATACGGGACCCAAACTGAATGGCTCTCTTGGGCTGGGCTGCAGCAGTGTGGCAGTGCAGCAAGACTGCTACGTCTCTCAACAGTCTCTTCTCACCCACTCCTCGTGGTAGACTCAAGTCTGCCTGTATAAGTATAGGACCATTCATTTATATGACGACTGCACCATAGCAGAGAAGTGATAATATTTTGCTGTAGCCTCCCACCAAAGTGTCTCCGTCCAATTTTCTTACCTTCAGTGTCATTGGTAATCCTTGAAGGTATGCTACAACTTGCTCATCTAGGAATGGATACTGGGCGTCTCTTTGGTGGTCTGCAGCACATCTGCAGTACGAAAACAGGAATTTTGCGCGCGTTCAGACTGCGCGTGCGTGGAAATCGTCGTTGCGTGTTGTTCGTGTGCATAAAAGCTGCATGCATGGCGGTCACCGGTTTCAGGCGGCTTCCCGGCGTTGTAACGGAGATGAGGACTAAAACAGATGTAAGACAGCAGAGTAGCTAGGTATAGATACTCAGTGTGTCGCCGGGGAGTAAACAGAGCGAGCTATATATCTGTGATTGGCTAACTGCTGCAGCTAAGTTCGCGCGCGGTGCAGAAGACACCGCGGTCTACGGCGCCGTCGTTCTCATCATGGGACTCGTAGTGACGAAATTCAAGAATCTCTACAAGTCGTTCTCGGGCGGCCAACACTGCAAGATACTGCTCCTGGGCCTGGACGGCGCAGGCAAGACGACCCTGCTCTACAAGCTGAAGCTGGGTGAGACTATCACCACGGTCCCCACCATAGGATTCAATGTGGAGACCGTCTGCCCAGTACAACACGTCAGCTTCACCGTCTGGGACATCGGAGGCCAGGGAAAGATCCGTCAGCTGTGGAGACACTACTTTCTGGGCAGCGAGGGTCTCCTGTTTATAGTGGACAGTCAGGACGAGCATAGACTGTGGGAGGCCCGAGAGGCCTTATTCTGGATCCTGCAGTCGCCAGAGATGGCCGGAGTTCCTCTAGTGGTACTGGCCAATAAGCAGGACGTCTCCAATGCTCAGACACCTACAGCCATAGCCTCGGGACTGGGTCTAGCAGAGCTGAAGGATCGCCGGTGGTTCGTGCAGGGTACCAGTGCTCTGAGTGGTGCAGGGGTCTACGAGGCCATGCAAGAACTCGCCACCCTCACCAAAGATTTCCAAAAGTCACGACATTGAGCCCACAACAAATACGTGCCACGTATCACTATTACACCAGAACCATACCATTCTCATTCATTCATCCGCTTTAAGTGAGTATAATTGCAATTTCTATGTAATAAACAGAGGATTTTGAACTTGGCCGCTGTAGTGTAGATCTACATGCAGTATTTTTTGCACTTTTGGTACCGACATAGAACTTGTTTTCAGAGTACGCTACTCTGCCAAAGCTGTCTGCAAGTGTACGCACCTTGCTAGAGAGTCAGTGCAAACAGTGTTGGTCAACACATTGTCAATGTGGCTAGCCATCATGTGATGGACAAGTAGAGCACATTCACAACTCTCTGCTTAAAGATTAGTCACCACAGTGCCGAGTGTGCTCGCCTTACCATATATATACCGTGTGGTGAATTGACACGGTGATGTATGGCTCGTAGTCACCGTCTACCATTGTATGTTTGTGCCCGGTGAATGAGAGATGGCAACGGACCTCCTAGTATACACACATCCTTTGCATGTTTTACGTGAGCTAAAACACCAACGCAGAGACTGTCTCGAATTAGTAACGTAGGTTTACCTGTCATCTCTGCCGAAATTTCTCTTTGCCAGTCGCTTTATGTCCATCTCCACCTCCCTGATGACTCCAGCCACACCACTAGTCCTATAAGAGGGAAGGGAAGGAGGAGGTGAAGGAAAACAGAGGGACAGACTCAGAAAAATAATAGTCCACACCTATTACGATTCTTGTGGACAAACACACTGCCACACTAGATATGGTGCCTAGTACACACAGATGATTGCATGCAGGTGTCTTCTAGCTATGTCAGCTATGAGACTGTACACACACACATACACACACACACACACACAGAGGACACCTAAGAGCATCTGTACTTTGCCATTATCTCAGAGTACCATCCCCAGCTCGGCTACATAATGAGGCAAAGAGAGTCTGTAGGCACACAACCACACTTGCTTCGACCTGGGCCCCAAAGTGACAGAGGACATCAAAGCTAGACTGCTGAGCCAGATGACCTCTGAATCAGCATGGGATTACACTCCCCTGGTACACGCCTCTGCCAACTGCGTAGGTGTGTGTCCGATATACCCTAGTGCATTGGGCTGTGGTATGAGGAGTGGCTAATTAAGATGCACTAATCACTAGCAGAAACAACCCTATCCTTGTGCACATAATTGTACATAGATACAGTATATGTAGAAAGTGTCCACCTAAACTTGGTGCGGTGGCGGGCATATCCAGCCAATTGTTCATCAGCTCCAATCCCCACTAGCAGTGCCTGCAGCAACAGAGGAAGAAATGTGTCACTGTTGAAGCCTCTCAGTAAGGAATTCTACTGGAAACCCAATGCCATCTGCTGCAGACAATGAACAGGCTGGGCCTTAATGGTAGACAAAGAGCACATTCCAAACCACAGGTGCCGGTATATTCTGCTATCAACATTTGCCACTGGAACAAAGGGTTTATTTCCAGTCTGTTGAGCAGTGGTGGACATTCATCTGGCAGAGTGTCTCTTCCAGGTAAACACAAGGCATTTTAGAGCCACCTTCTAATTACCAGTACACAGCTTTTAAAAATTTTTTTTGTTGTGAACTCCACACAGGTGTGGTCAGTGAGACTGTGATTGACAAGTAACCAAGTAACAAGTAGCCTGTAAAAAACTTCCAAATGTACCCCCACCCACCCTGGCTGATGATTGGTAGCGTGGTGGTCCAGACTTGGAGCCAGGGCCACCAGAGTGGAGAATGCCAAGGCCTCTGGATGAGAACCAGAGAGCACAGCCTATACTGTCGTCCAGGACCGTGTTGAGGGGGTACACCAGCTGGGATATTACCTCACTCCTGTAATAATTCAGTCACTGGTAGTATATACCATGCTCGTGCACTGTGCGGTTGATTGGCATACCTCATTTTGTTGACTTCATCTAGTGTGACATTCACCTGCACAGGTTATACAGATGTTTTTTTGCCTCGTACGTGGACAACTGACAAGATGGTGGATTTACCATTACGAAATTCCATTTCCTCTCTCGGTTCAATTCTTGTAAGCAGGCCAGACCGGAGATCCGGTCAGGAACATCAAACCTGAAGAAAGCTCAGACACTATAATACACTCAGTGGCAGCTAATAATATGAATTCTAGGTAGCAAAAGTCTACTGAGTGCAACCTGTGATATTTTCACATGTGCATTGTCCAGTGTAAGATTGGTGGATATAGCTACTAGGGTAATGGACACTCACAGAATTTCTAGGTAAGGCTCATTTTGCCAGCAACACTCACCTGGTGGGGTCAGATCTGGTAGATGCTTCTGCTCAAATGCTACGTTAATGAGATCAATCTCTTCTTCAGGATCCAGGCACCTAGCAGACAATGCAATATCGGCAGGAGCAACCTCAATAATGTTTTTTAGTAACGGTTAAACCTCCGGACAAGGGACACCTTAAATCTCAAAATGACACAGAGTTCTCCCTTATGTGGAGGTTTAAAATACGGAGTAGAACCAATATGAAAGGTGTTCTCCATTCAGAGGGTCTTTATTCACTATCCCAATACCTGTCAACTATAGCAGCTAGCACTGCAGAATCAACACCACCGGAAAACAAGACAGCAACTCTGGCATGACCTTCCAGGACACCTTCACGGTCAACTCCCAATCCACTAGTGCCTCCTTCCGTCCTAGCGTCATCTCCCAGCTTAACTGAACCTTTGACCTTGGTGACTTGCCTCTTCCCCCAGCTCACTGGCGGAGCTCTTGACACGCGACGCTGGACTGCAGCCTGGAGTATGTCCAGAAACCTCTCCACATGTTCTCCATAGGAGATGGTGGTAGCAGGAGGTTGCCTAGCACACCGAGGTCCAACTCTTTCACTAGGCAGTAGTGGTGGATCAGTACTTGATTGAGAGTCGGTTGTAGAAACTGCTTCAGCAGCGCGAGTGTCTTCCTGAGGATGGCTAGAGTCTGCCAAGGGGTGTGGTGGTGGATCCACATCTTTTGTTGAGTTAATTGATGGAAAGTAAACGAGGGGGTGGTCCTCTTTGATTGAGGTGACGGTGAGACAAGTTTTCAGTGAGCCCAGCTCATCAGCAATGACTTGCTCTGACTGAAACGTACTTTCTGTGAGGAACACAAAGTCATGCATGCACACTACTTACTCATACACCATTATCCTAACCTCCTTGCTTCCACAGATAGCACTCCAGAGCAGCTATATAGTGAAACAGTCCAGACAATAATCAGAGGGGAACACAGCATAGATACCTGACTCCATGGTTGCGATCCCAGTGCAGGAGAGTCTGTATATCCCCACAGCTGGAACCTCCAGCCAGTAGTCCTGGACACATGCAACAAGAGTACACTGTAAAATAGTCTGCATTTGGTATTAAGGGGGAGTCAATTGTTGTACCCTACAAAAAGTGGTGGGGAAAAGTGCACAACACACAAAGCCGTTAGTTGTGCACATTAATTTTAATGTAGAAAGGATTAAAGGAGTGTTGGTTACTCACGGGTGTAGTGGTAGTGTGGTCAAAGTGTCCGACCGAGGAGAGGACGAGAGAGTCGTCTGGTGAATGTGGGAGGTGCCAGACAAGACTGCGACGACCAAACACATCTCTACCAAACCACAGACTCTGGCTTGAGGCCTTTTCTCATACATACACATACACGAAGGATTATTGAAGGATTAGATACAGTAGTTGTATGCCAACCTGCCAGAAGACAAATGACCATGGTCCGTGTATGGAGGCAAGGGTTTCCAGGAGCTCTGAGTGTGTGTGTTTAGAGCTTAGCTCTTGAAGGACCTTCACAGTGTCATTTTCGCCCGGAGCAATCTGTGTCAGAAGAATTCCCCAACATAACACACCTTAGCATGGGTCATTACATTTTGCATGGACTGTTACCTGGATGTCACCCCCGAAAACGTTTCCATTCCACAGGAGCCAATCACCTGCCTCGTTACCCAGGGGCAATGGGGTGAGCTCTCCTCTCATCCTGAGGAGAGTTCCCAGGAGCTCCAACTGGAGCCCACCTCCACCCACCGGAAGACACACCTCGTGCAGCCAGTCTGGGCCCCGCCTTTGGAGTCTTCCCAGCACCACCTCCTATAGTATAATAAAAGAAAGGGGTACTGATTGTTTCTGTGTTGATGACCTTTATGAATCCTTTGCCATCTCGTCCCGTAGTATTGCAGAGACAGGCAAAAATCCCACACATAATGTCACATCGGAAAGCTTGTGGACGGCGCATGCGCACATTGTGGTTTCTACCAGCCCCACCCACAATAAAATTGTGCGCGCATGAGCGAGCTTCATGTAGTACTCTGCACAGTCGAAGTGCATTTAGGCTGCTGTAAAGCCGAAGATTGACGTGACTGCTGCAGAGGGAGAACGTTGGTCAGGTGAGTCAACGCTAAGATATTGCGCACGGTAGCGAGGAAAAGCAGCCAAGCCCATTGCAGATTTACAGCACTGACCTCGCTTCCACGACCATAGATAGCTAGCTAATGTAGCTATAAAGCATGCCACGACCGAGGGGACCGTAGTATAAAAATCATTATCTCTTCGCTTTATAAAACGTAAGAAATAAAGTATTGGTCGCTGTTGGATTTGGAGATTTCTAATACACAGTCATGACGTGGGCAACATGGAATTTGACTGTGTCTCCCTTGTGTTCCCTAGGGGAATAGGTATTGTATACAAGTAGATCGTTCGCTAAATTCTTCTCATGGCAGGCATTGCCATGAATATTTTCGTTTTTCTATGTTATGTCTGCCTAAAATCCTACGATGAATCAATCCACTTAGCTGGAGAAGAAACAGTTCAACACAGCATGAAGAGGCTGGCGGTTCTCCTGCTGTTACTGTTTGGAGGTTCAGCTGATGCTTACTCTTCAGGAGCACCATCTACAGCATGTAGTTCATTAACTCCTGGTCATGGAGGGTCACCCCAATCATCGTCCTCGCCTTATACACTCGATCTGTCAATCTTTGACTTGTACGATGACGGTATAACTATATACTACTATGAACCTGGACAAACATATCAGTGTAAGAACTTAGCATTCAATGTGAGCTGTCATACATGCAGAGACTCTTCATACGCAGTGACTCTGTCTGGTGGTGGTACAACATTTCGAGGGTTTCTGCTCCAAGCGAGATTGACGGCGGATGATGCAACCCTTACCGGGACGTTCTCTAACCCAGTCTCTGGCTCCCAGCTCAGTAGCTGCTCTCCTCCTGCTGTGAGCAGCAACCAAAACACATTGGATGCGTTGGCTAGCTTTAAACTGTCCCGTGAACTGTACTACCGAGCACGCTATGGGGTTATGCACCATTGCCCATGACCAGTCTACTAATCACAATAGTGCAGATGGGTTAACAAGTAACAATATATACTGCAAGCAGCGTGCCGACACACTCCTACTCATGCATGTGCACTGCGTACACTGCGTGTATGGTACTGTCAGAGACTGTGTGAGGTACAGGTGGATGGTATGAAGGCAGCACCGTGTTTTCCCTTGTTGATTACTAGGCTGGCCTGACACACTCCAGCAACTCACACAATATGTCCATCACTGGGACTTGGACAGCACCATCTCTCGGATCTGGACCAATCAGATTCAGGTAAAGTATAAACAATACAAACGTTTCACTAACTGATAGCTACTGCATGGGCTTGTAATGTCTCCCAACTACAGATATGCAGTGGTACAAGACATGCCAACATACTGGGCAAACATCATGAGTGATGTGATCTATGAATCAGGTAAGGTAACAACCATACGCTTATTGCGTTTTACACCCAATGGTTCACCAACAGAATTCACATGCATTTGAGCATATTTAATACATATCCTCATGTCGATTAGGCTGTGTCTGGATCCATGTCAGTTGCTGTCTTCCCATTTTTATTCACAGAGTGTATATCCATGCTCTATAGCTAGGCTCTATAACCAAACGCTTGTAGAGTTAACCTGTCCTTATTCCTGTCAATGCATGCAGGGACGAACCTGGTATACAAAGGTGCCCTACTGCTGGCCAACAATTCTCTGGTAGTGAGGGGAGATGTGGGAGTAGGAGAGGATGGAATAATTTGTACCTCTGATAGTGCTGACTGCTGCAGTGACCAAGACTCCGGTGGCTGGTTCTCCCCCACTGGAGACTCACTCCACGAGGGGGCAGATGGAGCCTCCACTCTCTACCTCACTCGAGGTCCTGGGTTTGTCCGTCTCAACAGAATCACCGGCGGGACCTCTGCCCTCTACTGGTGCGATGTTCCTGACTCCTCTGGGGTGCTGCAGAGGTTTTATGTTGGACTCTACACTAGTGGACTCACTTCAGGTACACCTACAACATGTCCTTCCAGTGTTTTGGGGGTAGCTATATACACCACCAGCATGATAACTATCTTAGATCCACAGTTTGCCAGTAATAAACTATACATGCTCCTGGCAGGTGCATATACTTCAGTTGCAGTGTTGTTTGCATTGGAAACGGAAGTAACGGAAGACCCACCTCGATTCTCACTGACATGTACCACCAAGGGTGGACCAGCTACCAATGTTACGTGGGAGAGAGACGGAGTGGCGATAGGAGATGACGCTAGCCACTCCTCGAGCCAGATTGTGGTTGATGCTGTGGACGCTGAGTATGACAATGTCCTCGTGGTGACAGGGAGAAATGGAGGAGATTACACCTGCACAGTCTCCCATGCGAGGACCTCAATCGTTGGCAGCATTCAAGTTGAAGGTAAGGACATCACCTAAGACTATATGAATTGATCTGTACTCTGGTCTATTCAGTGGGTACAGAGGCTATCAATCTAACAGCAGTACAGGAAGATATTAGTGGAACCAGTATCATTATTACCTGGGACATCCCCTCATCTCCTGCACCCACTGCAAGTGGATTCACTGTGATGTACGAAACCTCAGAGTCCAACGACACTTTCAGCGCTGGTTTGACCGAGCGTTCACTAACTCGTCAAGGACTAATGACGGGGTCCACCTACAGCATTTCAATCATCACAGAGTCGACCCATCTGCCGAGTGGATTGGTTGGTCCAGTGAATGTGACCTTAGGTTTGTCTCAATGGCCAAGTGCATTCAATAATTATCATAGTCTGCATTTCTCTACTACTTAACAGGGACAGGCTGTGTGGGCTTAGGCTATACTAATGGATGTTGTGTTGACTCTGGATCGGGGGACAGTGGATGTATTCTGGACCTGGCTGGTACTGAAGGTGACTGTGATTGCAGTGAGGAGTGCTACAGTCTTGGAAACTGCTGCCTCGATATTCTCCTCTCCTGTCCACCTCGTGCGTCCTACTAGCCACCACTCTTTTCTATAGCAAGCATAATATGGCATTTGTGTTGTTTCCACAGCTCCCGATGCAAACTTGTGTGTACTGTTCCGTGGGTATGGTTGTGACGAGAATGCCGAGTGTGTATCGGTGGGAGGAGTCATCAATGATAGTTCCTCCTACCAGTGTGTCTGTACTCAAGGATATGTAGGGGATGGGAACACCACTTGTATAGGTCAGTCCACAGGTTTTCAAGTTTACTATGTGAAATATTTACCCTCTGGATTATTGTGTAGGAGACTCAGTCAATGTCAGCCATTCGGTGGTGCTGGCAACAAACGGAAGTTTGGCTGTTTTGACGTGTGAAGCACAGTTTTTCCAGGCCAGTCCCCACTATTGGATACTGGTGGGGGACAAATTAATGACAGTGGCTGTTGGTAAGACCCTCGAGCTGGATCAGATCTTGTTTGCAGCAGCAGGAGACAAATACCAGTGCATCGTGTCAACCCCATATGGAAACATTACGTCCCAACTTGCTGAGATCATTGGTGAGTCAACCCTACAATCACCACTGATAGCTTGATACACAAGGATCTAAGAAGATTGACAGTACTATAAACTGCAGAGCATTATAAAAAATGTGCTAGTGGGAAGCTACCAATACAGTTCATATTAAGCAGGTGTTCAGGTGCTTCACTTTAACATACACTCTAGTATCTCCTCAAGGAGGGTTAAGTGTCCAGCCACCAGTGGCCTCTACTGAGCGAGGCGACACGGTGACACTGACATGCAGCAGTCTGGGAGGACCAGGGAACACTGTCTCATGGATCCAGCCACCTTCCAACACTCCCAATCTCGTTGGAAGCCTCTCTGAATGTCAGTGTGTCCAGTGGTCGAAATGGAGGAGTGTACAGATGCTCTGTGAGGAATGAGGCTGGCAATGACAGTACCGATGCAATCATTAATGGTAATGAACGTGGTTTACTATTGATTAAGTTAGAGTAATGGCTCTATTTGTATTAACCTGCATATGGAGAAGTCAGTGATATTTGTTATGTGAATTATTTTTCAGTTGCTGCGGTGTTTGAGGAGTCACCAGCGCCAGTCACGGCAGAAGTAGGAAGTAATGTGAGTCTCCAGTGTATAGCTGAGGGCTACCCACCTCCGACCACCGTCCAGTGGTTGCACTACGATACAGTCATTGGGGAAACAGACAGTATCACCATTGACGAGGTGACGGTCAACTCAACAACTGTTGTTAGTACTCTGGAGCTGAGTGGTCTCAGTACAGTGCAGTACGGTCAGTACCACTGCAGAGCCAATGGGGATGTTGACAGTGAACATGCCGCCATCTCTTTCACTGGTACATATACAACTCCTTCTCCAAGTTGTTTTTCCCCATTATTGATTTATGCGTTCCTCCAACTTCTTTTACGCATTGGAATTTATACATTTGCTAGGTAATTTTAGTGTGGGTGATTGTGAGGAGCTCCATAACATTACTTCAAACGTGACTGAAGTTGGCACCAGGGGAACAGTGTGTTTCCAATGCCCTGAGCCAGACTCCGTACTGGTGTGGATCATCAATAACCAGTCTGTCAGTAGTTCTATTGGGACAAGTTTTGCTGAGGGAGTTCTGGCCGTGTTCCTAGCAGCACAAGTATTCAGTGTTGATTCTCTGACACTGCTGTCGTGCTTGACAGACAATTCTGTCACCATACAAACCTTTGTCACATTACAAGGTAAGGCACAGTGAAAATAATGTCGAATTACAGTGGGTTGAATGGCTTATGAACTTAAAATGTGTTTTATACAGATTTCCCACAACCAGTAGTGGAGATAACAGCAAGTTCTAATGACAGTGTGGTGGGGCAGCCCCTGACTATTACCTGCTCAGTGACAATAGGGAGCGTTCTCACAACAGTACCAGACATTGAATTCCTTGGTTCATCTGGTGACCCAATAATAACAGGAGGAAGGATATTAATGAGTGGTCCAACAACTGATGGAGCAGTAACAACAGCGCAGGTCGAGATTCAGTCACTCACAGCATCAGATGGTGGCCAGTATACCTGCAGAGCCACAATCAATGCTCCCGGAGTCCAAAATACTTCTGAGGCTTACACGGTCATCACAGTAGCACGTGAGTCTACTCATGTCTCTTACTCATTTCATTTTCTGAGCTCCCCTGTATGATTATTCCAACAGTTTCTGAGCCAGATGCAATGGTAGCCCCTGTCAGTGATGGTAGCACCACCCCGCATGCTGGTGTAGAGTATAGACTGGTGTGTGGTGTTGACTCCAATGAATCATACGTTGGAATGATGATGGGGGCAGAGGTTGTGATTGTATGGAGGAACAGTGAGGGGGACCCTGTCGTATCAGACGCCAGGGTCTCTGTGTCACAGACTGAGGCAGTGCCCGGCGAAGGGGGGTTCAGGTCCACTCTGACTTTCTCCCCTCTCAGTCTATCAGACACTGGGGACTATGTATGCTGCGCAGTCTTCACACCAGACCCCAGCTGGTCCTTTGTGACTCCCAGCAGCCCTGGAGAAGACACATACACTGTTAACGTAACAGGTAGGGCAGCACATGCATTTGAGTGCCTCAATCGTTCAATGCCTTCTTCTATTCCTTAGCTCCCCCACTGCCGAACCTAACAGTGTCTGTCAATGGTTCTGGGGTTGCCGGAGAGCCACTGGAGTTAGTGTGCGTCTCTCAGTTCATCCAGGACCTCGTCCTACCACCATCAGTCGCGATATTAGACCCTCTCAATGTACAGCTAGAGGAAGGACTCGCAACGTCTTCAGGAGAGGGTATTGTGAGTGTTTCAGCCCTGCTGGATCCACTCCTGACGTCACATGCTGGGATCTACACTTGCGTCTCCACCTACAACATCTCCGAGGCTGGGCTGGATGATGCTGAGCTGTACTCTGCCACACAGATTATCCCTGTCAATGTATCAAGTAAGACTAAAAGACACTCTATAGAGGTTGCGTGTTCCATGTCTTGTATTTCTGTAGTTCCAGCTCCACGGGTGGTCTTGGCTCCAGTATCGACTGAGACTTACATTGGAGCAGTAACTAGTCTCTACTGCACGGTCCGGCTGGATGCTGCAGTGAATACTGCTATTGAGGTTACTACATCTATTGCACCCGGTTCCGACAACTTTACTTTGGCGAATGAGCTGGGTGGCAATATCTATCAGTCAGGCCTTGTGTTCAGTCCTCTCACCAGTGAAGACGCAAATGAGTATGTCTGCAACGTAATGGCTCAATCTTCAAATGAGCACATCACCAGGGCAACAGCAGAGGCTGTATATTCACTTGTCCCTCTAGGTATGAAAACACTAAGCATCCTTGCACCAAGCAAACTCAATACCGCATGCATTTTCTGTGTAGACGTACACTGTCTAATAATCTTCATCTGAGTTGCTAAAATCTTCATCTGAGTTGCTAAAATGCTATTGTGTTTTGATCTTCATCTGAGTTGCTAAAATGCTATTGTGTTTTGATCTCTCTATCTTGGTCACTCCAGACACCCCAGAGCCTCTGGTAACTATTTCCCTGGAGCAGTCAGCAGCTGTTTTGGGTACCGATGGGTCCCTGGTATGCAGTGTCACCACGATCCCTGGATTGCTCTACCCACCAATCGTTGAGTGGGTGGAGCTACCAGACCCAGCTAATACCACTGTGGAGTGGGTGGAAGGAGAAGGGAACACGCTCTGGCATCTGCTTCACTTCGACCCGACTTTGGAGGGACACGGAGGCTTGTACACATGCTCTGCCAAACTGTCATTTCCAAACACAACCATAGCATCTGTGACAACCACTAGAAACTTCACACTCGTGGTCCAAGGTTAGCTACTACTTTGTGCCTCTGTATAGTTCCCCTGTGCTACTAATATCTAAGTGCTTTAACTTTGTGCTCAGCCCCAGTTCCAGAAATAGAGATCACACAAGATCCAGAGGGAGATATCGTGGTAGAATCAGGGGTCTTCCTGACCTGCAATGCATCCATTCCACAGCCAAACTCTCTGACATTCTCAGTCACCATAAACTGGACCACCGCAGACATGTCCACCGTTGTAAACTCCAGTGACTCTAGACTTTTGGTCTCTCAAATTGTTGAGACGACTCCACATGAATTCATCTCGAGGCTGACTCTCTCTGCTGTGAGTCCGGAGCTGGATAGTGTGTATGTCTGTACTGCAGAGACCTCAGGGGAGGGCTCTGGGGAGTTTGTCTCCACACAGTCTGCCACGAGAAATCTGTCTCTTGTCATTGTAGGTAAGAGAATTGCCACTGTAATCACAATGCCTTTGACTAACTGCTCTATTACTACAGGACCTCCAGTAGATTTTATTGTGGAGTCAAACATGCCAACCAATCTCTCGTTTAGCTGGGGGCTCCCTATGACCCCTGGAGAAATAGTTAGCTACCGGTTGGAGTGTTCTACTGAGGTGACAGGTGTCAGCCATCCACCTCCAGTGAACACCACAGATCAGACTGGCACAGTGCTCTCCCTCAGTCCTGGAGTCCCCTACACGTGCACACTCACAGCTCTCACTGTGTCTAACACACCGCCTCCTGCCACTGTCAATGCCACTACCCTTGAATCAGGTATTTGTGAAGAACACACAGTAAGTAAAAGAAAACCATAGACAAAATGGTTTATTCCCTCACCTTTTTCCTGCTCGTGATATTGCAGCTCCCAGTGGTTCACCAGTTGGCTTTAGTGCAGAGCCAGTTGGGGCGAGAAACATCTCGTTTTCATGGCAACCACCTGAACCGCACCTCCAGAACGGCGTCATTGTCAAGTACATCATCACTTGTACTCCGAACCCTCTCACTCCTCTTTCTCCCGTGACCGAAGCCATCGGACTCACTGTGGGTGGGTTCTCACCTTTGACCTCCTACAACTGCTCACTTAGAGCAACTAACAGTGCTGGAAGGGGGCCACCAGCTTACATAGTGTCACAACAGAAGATGACAGTAAGAAACCCTGGATAGACAATGTCATACTTTTGTTGGTGTGATGTCATGCACTCTTTTCCACGCATTGCAGGTGTTCTCATTCAAGTGAAGGTTTTAGGTGTAGGGGACTGTGTGTCATGGAAGGTATGGCATAGTCTCTCTTGCACTTTTTGTGTTTTACAAACTCTCAACGTAGGCCCAGGATGAGGATGCTAAACGTGATGATCTTACATCTGCCATAGTCGACAATATCAACAAGAGATGCGACTGCTCCTTTACCAGCAACAGTGTATTGGAGGGGCAATTTCAGTGTTTCGGTTCTGTTTCAGACAGTGTGACATTCAGAGCAATCCTGAGGGGAACTGCTGCAGCGAGCAGCTTAGTTCTAGCCAGTCACGTGGCAGACTGGGTGGCCACGGGGCAGACAATTCTACTGCAAAACGTCCACTTCAAGTTGGAGAGCGAGTGCAGGAGGAAGTTGTGATTGAGGAGTTGTTGAGCCCTGAATGTGCTCCGCCGAGGGCTGTAGGAGACTCTAGTAACTTCAGCGTGTTGTCTCTTGGTATAGAGGCAGTTGTGGGTGTTAGTGCGGCTGGTCTACTGGTGGTAGCTGGACTGATAGTATCAGTGGTGGTCATCATCACATGCTGGAGGAGACATCGCCTGATTAAAGTGAACGTTCGGGGGCACTCCAGGTATAACAGAGTCAAATGTAGAGTGTCTATTAGTATGTTTTATTGCCTCTATCTGGCTCGAAGCTCTGTGTCCCACTAGAGCGTCATTCGTTACGCGATATTCTCTTCTTTCCTTGTTAGGCATGTTACCCCAGAGAAAGGAAGCACAGAACTCCTGCAATCACATCGAAGAAGTACAACCAGTGTGGACAGCGAGTTGATATACAACGAACAGTATACGTCATTTATTTGGCAAGCAGCAGTCAGAGAAACCTGCTGCCGACCCTCTCAAAGACAATCCTCTTTACTCAAACCCTGTTGTAGCAAACACCAAACTAGATGACCCTCTACCGCCCCTACCTGAAGTCGACTCTGATGGATACGCTGCTGTATTGCCTCTTAATATGAGGAGCCGTGCAATGACTAGCCCCGCAGCTCCAAGCGATTATCTAAAGCCAGTACTGTCTCCGCAACATACGAAGGAGAAATTGCTACCCCCTCCAGACAACAGTGAAATATTTGAGAACAGATCGAGCGGGATCTACGAGGACCCAGACTACACACCCACACCCAAGAGGAGGTCCACGTCTCTCAGTCATAAGACTGCCACTAGCACCACTGCAGCTGCTGGTTCTCCTGCAAGAAGCGTGGGTAGAGCTGACACGTTTATGAGTGGTGGAGGAGGAGGAGGGCGAGGGCGCAGAGCCAGGGGTGTGGCTAGTGCTGGTAGTGTGAGGGAAAACCAGGGAACGTGATGCGGGAGGACGACATGGCAACATGTACTTGGAGAATAAGGGTCGAGGCAAGCGAATTACTGGAAGTGGAGGCCTTATTAGTGGTGGGGTAGTGGCAGCAGATTATGAAGAACCAACTTCGGGGAAGGATTCAACAAAGTGGACCCTTATGTAGAGTTTTTAATGCTGTAACACCTGAACGTAGCATTGTATGTCTTGTTTATTTTGTGCAAGTACTACCGATCACTTTCTATTGCCAGGTTGATCTCATTTGCTTTAGTGCCTATTCAAATTTCGCGCGCAAGCGAGCGGCGGTACACATCACATGCACACCCGGTACCCAATGCAAAGTCGTCGCGCATGAGGTCGATGCGCGCGCGCGAGCAGAATGCGCGCGCCAACCAGCGCGCTCTTTATAAATTCACGACACCGAGAAACTAGCCGATAGTGTATACATTATACCTGTAACAGCGAAATGGAGACTGCAGCTCTGCAGTTGGTGCTGATCCTCTGTTGCTTTCCGGGACTCCACTCTGCAACTGTTCCTTACCCTCACTTCCATGGAACTCTTCTGGCCAACCATTCATTTGTGGACCTTGGTCGAGTGCAGGATAATGCCAGCGGTTCTCTTCACTGTCACACTGACCTCTACTCATGCTGCACCTCTGACCAAGGAGAGTATCGAGGAAGCTGGTTCTTCCCTAATGGTAGCAGGGTGGAATACGGTACATTCATTTATGAGGTTGGTGCAGTTCAAAAAGTTGAACTACGTCGTCGAAATGGTGCCAGTACTCTCACCAACTGGATTATATCGCTGTGATATTCAGACTATCGCTTCTCGTCATTTTCCAACCGGAGACCCTGTCTATGTGGGACTATATCCACCTAATGAAGGTAGATTAAGTTTTATAAAGTGAATTTCTCAGCACTGTCATTACTGTTCACTTTGCCAGGAGATGTGCAAATATTAGGTGATCTGGCGCTTACTGTTAGCTCTGTCTTGAGTGGAACTAATCCTCTTATCACTCTCACCTGTATCTCCACTGGTGGACCTGCTACCACTGTCACTTGGACCAGAGACTCCACCACTGTCACCCAAGGAACTGTGACTGTGTTGGATGACCCAGTGACTGCACAGTACACACACACTCTGACTGTGTCTATTGAAGGAGATTACACTTGTACTGTGTCTAACAATAAGCCATCTACTGCTTCAGCTAGCGTCACTCTCAGAGGTATAGCTACCTATAAAATATACAGGGAAACTCTTTTCCAGCACATTAGAAAATTAAGATTCCGCTATAGCCCACTATGACTAAATTTCTCGTGCATGGGAATTAACTAACATCATGCATAGCTACTTAGTTTGGAGTTTAGCGATTGGTGGATTAATTATCCCGGTCTGCTCCTGCATACTAAGTGAGAATTAACTGTTCCATAGGAGGTTTTGCCTTTGCTGTATTAGATTTGAGCCCCTGCCCACTGAGTGTCCCTGGTAGCTCAGCTCAGTGGGTAAGAGTGTTCTACCTAGATTGCAGAGTTGAAGCTCGTCTTTCCGTGGGAAAAGGTTCAGTGTTGCTGAATGGTTTTGTTTGCTTGAGGCCCACGATGTACACACACAATTTCACACGCACAGGATGCATGGATTCTAGCTTGTTGTCAACCTAATATGTCACTAAGTGAAAGCCATGCACATAGCCGCTGATATTAATTTCTGCCAAGCCTTATGTGATTAAACCAGGACTTTGAATTGTGTGTTTCCACAGCTCCAGACACAACATTTTTGTATACCCATAAGCCACACATGCATGCATGAGTGGCAGGGGATGTGTTTTTAAACTAGGACTTTCACCTAAAGTTCTTCTAAAGTTACAGTCTCAACAATCATATAGCCACAAAGTCACTGGTCTCATTTTGTTAGTGTGTGATGCACCACACCAGGACTTCAACCTCAAGTGTTTGTTTTTCTATAGGTCCAGAAACACCGATAGTGAGGGTTGTGTCAACTACAGCCACCTCCGTGACTCTGAGCTGCATCGACCCAAGTGACGCAGCAGTCATAAGTCACGTCCTTCACTGGCAGGGAGATCTCCCGGTGGCATGCTCTGATACAAATGAGGGCTACTACCGCTTTTCACACCGACGCGAATAGCGTAACTGTAATAGATGGACTGGAAGAAGGCATTGCATACAAAATGTCTGTGACATCCATCAACGTGGTTGGCAGCAGCAAAGTCAGTGAAACTTTTACAGCAGTAACTAAGGAGGCAGGTGAGAAAACTTCCCCGTTTATATTAATTTGTCTAACACTTTGAAAATTGGTTATTCTCCCCAGCTCCCACTGGGTCACCCACTTCTGTCATGGGTTCAGCTATCACTGCCACCAGTATTAGCCTCCGGTGGGAGGAAGTGCCCTGTCTACACCGTAATGGAGAGATCACAGGTTACACAGTTCTCGTGGGGAATGGGAGAGCTAACAGGCTAGTTGAGGTCGCTGGTGACCTCAGAGAGACTAATATCTCTGGACTGGCACCTTCCACTGAGTACAATATACAAGTGGCGGCATTGAACAGTGCAGGCATTGGATCGTACAGTGACGGACGTGTTTATAAAACAAGAGGTTAGAATCACACAACCTCTTTTATATAGCTACATGACAATAGCATCAAGAGAATGTATTTTTTTCAGCAGCCACTTATGCCGGTGGGGAAGATGCATTAAGTTGCACGTGTCCCAAAGCTGACAACACAGGGGCTGTTATTGGTGGAGTTGTAGTGTCTGTGGCATTAGTGATCACTGCTGCTGTGATCGTCAAAGTGGCTATGATTATGCTGCCACGAAAATATGGAAAAAATTCGACACATGATAGGTATAATGTGTGTCACTCTTAGTGTATATCTATCTAGCAAAAAAACCTCTATACAGAAAGTCACCCACTTCAGCCCCTATCACTTCAAACTCGAATGAAACTGTTTTGTAAGTTTATCCGTACATTTTGATGCTTGTGGTTGTCAATTAGTTATGAATATTCCAGAAACGAGGCTTATAATGCAGTGGAACGGGTTGAAGAGTCAGACAGTGTCTATGAGGAGGTGTCTTTCGAGGCCTCCCCATCATCCACCATATAGCAGGAAACCCCCACTACCACTCAGACAGTGTAACAAAGAGAGATTGCACACCAGACAGCAGAATGCATTTATTTTTGTAACTATGTATTCGTTTAGCTACTGACACTGGAAGAGGCTGTCTAGGTAGAATTATGAAGGCTGCCTTTTCTCCAGTGTTTTGTCATGTCCCTGCACATAAACAAAGGCATTATTATAATGAACTTTCATACTACTTTTCATGGTGGGTTGTGTAACATTAATGACTGTCCTTTGACTAAGAGTCTATAGGCGGTCAGTGCATTAACTCCAAGCATTGAACGATAACTGTAATTTGCCAGTTCATGGCCAGTAATTGCAACGCTATTCATAGGTGAAGTGAATAGTTCTACGCCCCTTAGATTTGAAGGCTATGGCTGATAAGTTTCTTCACGACTACCCCGCCCTCAAGCCGTTCGTTCTCTCCGACGTCCAGCTTACTGGCGTAACAATCGGCAGCGGAGCCTATGGCGCAGTTGAGGAGGTGGCCGTTCCTGTAGGTGCGGCTGCGAAAACCATCTTCGGCATCTTGCAGCAAAGCGACCCTGAAAACCGCCGAATCCAAAGTAACGGCGGACTTCGTCAGAGAATGCGAGCTGATGAGCAACATTCGACACCCGAACATCGTCCAGTTTTTCGGCATCGCCTTCTTTCGTGACTCGCGACTTCCCTCGCTTGTGATGGAACGGATGATTACGGACCTACACGGATTGCTAACGCAGTCGAAGTTACCACCTGAGCCCGTTCATTTCTCTACGGCTATCAAGTGCTCCATACTGCGCAACGTAGCGTGTGGACTGGCCTACCTACACGAGCGATGGCCACCCATCATCCACCGAGACTTGTCCGCCAGAAACGTTCTCATCAACTCGGAGATGGTGGCCAAGATTGCAGACCTGGGCGTGGCTCGTATTGCACCGCGTGCCAAAGCTGCAGCCACTATGACGATGGGGCCTGGAACCTTAGTCTACATGCCTCCAGAGGCCTTTGCACCGGCTAAGGCTGAGAAGTCCAAATACGACGCCAGCATCGACGTGTTCTCTTTTGGAGTTATCACCATTTTCACACTAAGCGAAAGGTTTCCATGCGATCTTCTAGAGCCCACGTATTTTGATACGAGGAGCGGGGCCCTAACAGCCCGTACCGAACTGGAACGACGCAGTGAGTACGTACAAGACGTGAAAGAAAGGTTGCTAGACGGTGGCCGGGAGCACCCACTCATTCGTCTGATCCAGCAATGTCTTCACAACGACCCTCTCAAACGCCCAAGTGCTCGCGTGCTCCTGCACCTACTGGAGGAGGCAAAAGGTTGCATCAGAGATGACGAAGAAAGCGAGTCTAAAAAACGCCAACTAATGCAGTGTGCTACTCAGAACCAGTCGAACGGGACCCAGGTAAAGACACTCGTCTTATTAGCTGCATCCCACTACGTGATTTCTTATACTCAGAATTTGGAGCGCATTCTTCAAGGTCTAGTGATACAGAATGCAAATCTTGAGTCCCAAATCCAAGAACTGCTATCCAAGAACCAAGTAAGTATAGCCTAGTAGCTATATACCTCCGGTTGTATTGGTTCGAATTCCAACATCGTTGCTTGTGTGCATGCAGAGTTTTGAACAGGAGGTTGTGCAGGCACTGGCTGAGGCTCAGCAGCAACTCAGAGAGAAGGTTATTATAATCACAATGCTCAGCATTCTGCTGCTGGCATAGAAGCACATTGTCCGATGAGGGGACCAAAGTGGCCATTCAGTGAATGGCCACTTTGGTCCTGCACTTCAGTGATTCAGTTTTGCTGGGTGCTACACTCCAAATGACTGAGTGTATTTTGACCACATGTGCTATGCAAGGCATGAAGGGTGGCATTAGTGATGAAATACACTGAAAGAACTGCAAATTAACGGATTAAGTAGCCCCAAAATACTAGCGTATAGGCTTGGTTCACATCTATCTAAGTGCCTATACCAATTGACAGTGACTCCAAAATTAATGCAGGAAGAAAAGTTTCAATCCAGCCAGAAGGAGCAGGAGAAAGTTAAACAGTTCCTTAAAGCAGAGGTGACTAGGGCAGAAGAGGTTATTAGCAGAAAGCAGCAGCAGATTCAGGAGCTGAAACAGCAAGTTAGTGTTGTGTTGATGGGTCCTTTACCTGAGTGACTTATGGTTGTCTTGATTGCAGGAGACTGAGTTATTGCAGGTCAAAGAGAGAGAGCTGGCTGAAGCTCGGCAAAAATTGAGGCAAAAGGTGAATATAAAAACAAGATGAACTTCAGTGTGAATACAATAACAAACTCTATGTGCTGTGCAGGATAAACATTTGCAGTTCAGTGAGGCATTAGTAGCTGACTTAAGACTCCAACTAGCAAAGGTATAGCTAATAATATACAGTGATCTCAGCCCTTGCAAACCTTATCTCTTCCCTCTCTTTCCCCTTTCAAAGTATTTTGACTCATACGCGTGCAAAGTCAGTGGGCCTGGACTATCAGCAGCTACAGTCAACAACCCAACACACGTCCTAGTCGAATTAACTGACTCTGGAGGCAAGCCATACTCAACATCACAGCTGAGCATCACGGCCGAGCTTGAACACCTGCCGAAGGTAAAATATGCCGTGCGACCTGCAACTCCTGCAACTGGTGCAAAGCGATTGAAGCTAAAACAGTTACCTGCGGGAAAGTGCTTATCAGTAACTACGATATCTCCTTCCCAGTATAAGGTGCTATACACGGCTGTTAGTCAAGGCCAACACAAACTTCACGTTTGTATCAACGACAGAGAAATCAAAGGCAGCCCCTTTACATTGACTGCATATATCGACCCTACGCAGCTAGAGCGTCCAGTGACAGTTGTGAATAACTTGAGTGGACCATGCGGCATTGCTTTCAACAGCCGAGACGAGATGATTGTCAGTGAGTGTAGTGCACACAGACTGTCCATCTTTGACAGCCGAGGAAAGCCTATTACAACATTCGGATCACATGGTGAAAGGCCAGACGATATGATAGCCCCTGCGGGCATAGCACTCGATGATGCCGACAACATTTACGTGAGTAGCGAGCACAAGCTCCAAAAGTTTACTAGCAGCGGCGAGCTGATCAAATGCATCGGTCGAAAGGGAAATAAGGAAGGGGAGTTTGATGATCCACGTGGCGTAACAGTCTATAATAGCCACGCTTACGTGTGTGACAGAAATAACCATCGTATTCAAGTATTTGACGTGGATATTAGCTTTGTTCGCTCCATCGGTTCTTACGGCAAACAAACACGTCAGTTCAACGCACCACTTGATGTTCAATTTGATGCCACCGGAAATATGTACGTATCAGAGTTAGGAAATAAGAGAGTGCAAGTTTTCGACGGCATTGGCAGAGCTATACGTATAATTGGTCAGGAAGGAGTTAAACTCCGTGCACCCTCAGGTCTTCATGTTGCTGACAAGTACGTGTATGTGTCCGATTCTAGCAGTCATTGGATTGTGGTGTATGAGACCAATGGTCAGTTTGTGACTTCATTTGGCAGCTATGGCCTGGGAGATGGGTACTTTGATAGTCCATACGGCATCACCTCCTGCCTCAATGGGCATATATATGTATGTGACTGCGACAATGACCGAGTACAAATATTCTAATGCTGTAGTAATTATTATCATGTGTATTATAACAAGGCTATATATTATATATAATAATTGTAGAAACTGAGTGAAGTCGTACTTTTATGGGGATACCTAAAAGGGCGGCAAAAATGGAAAAACTCGGCTTGGTTGATTTTTCATTGATTTCATTGATTTCATTAAGCACTAATAAGCAGCTCTAAAGAGAATTAAAGAGAATTCTATGAAAGTCCTTAACTAATTGCACGGTAATCAGGAAAAAATTAGTCTCCAGGGGCAGGTTGGGGGAGAGGAGGAGGAGGAGGAGGAGGAGGAGGAGTTTGCAGAGGTATTGTCTCATAGAGTCCATCTGATTCTCCTGTGTTCTTCACTGTACCGTAGGCCTCGTTCTTGCTAGTCCTGGGGTCCCTGTTGGTGGAGTTACAACTTGAGCATAGCAAGCTACCAAACAACCATACATACAGAGCAGTTTCTTTTGAGCACCGCCCACATTGTCTTGATACCAAGACTATCAACACTCTGATTATGAGGGCAACGATTATTACCACCACCACAGACACCGCTGATGCTCCAGTAATGCCTATCACGTTGTTGGTGTTGCCCTCTTTCTGGCAAGCATCAGCTATAGCTGGAGGGAAGATCATTCTCTAAGGCTATACACATGGTATATAGGTTATACCAGTAGTGGAAACTATGAGAGGGAGACTGTGAGTGATTCCACCAACATCAGTAGTAGTAATAGGTCTGACAGTGAGTGTGTAGATAGTGGAGGGGTCCAACTGGAGGATGGTGTAGGTAGTGCCAGACAGAGGACCACTGGTGCTCTCAGTGCCTCTGTTCCAGACCACCTCCCAACTGGCCACCCTCCCACTGGACACACTCCAGGAGAGGGAGATGGAGGTGGCTGTTATGAAGCTCACACTAACTTTTAGTGGTCGATCTATTATTAAGGGTACATAACACAAGGCATTCTACATAGAAGACAATTGCTTACACAGTGTGACTTTGCGCACAACAGAATCACTAGGGAGGTGAGGTGATAAGCCCACAACAGATATGCTATCTGTCACTAGACTAGTTGGTAAGTAAACTTTAGTTGAGCCATCATGAACATCCACACTACCGCTGCTGCCTACTCCAGTGAAGGAGATCCTGTAGCCAGTGGTATCTCCCAGTGGAGAGGGAGGAATCCAGGTCACTGTGACACTAGTGGGACCATCCTGGACTGCTGTCACATTAGCTGGAGCCGAGGCAACTAAAAAGATTAACAACAACAACAACAACAAGTTAACAATTACCAACAGTATTGGTGGAAGACCAGTGGGACATACCTTTAACACGTAGGCTGGCAGAGCTTTTTGATGGCTTGCTATTAGCTACAGTACATGTGTAGAGTCCTCCCAGTCTTTTGGTAACAGTCAGAGTGTGTGTGTACTGTGGAATTACTTGGTAATTCAGCATACTCTCAGTTGTTCCTTGGGTGACAGTGGTGGAGTCTCTGGTCCAAGTGACAGTGGTAGCAGGTCCACCAGCGGAGATACAGGTGAGGGTGAACTGAGGACTGGCTCCATTGAGGTCAGAGTCCACCGTCAGTACTATATTAGACACTACTATGTCTCCTAAAGAGATAGAAAATGAAGGTAATGTGATTAAAATGGCATTTTGTGCATTCACCACCTCCATAATCGTATAGTCCAACATACACTGTTTGCCCAGAGTCGGAACTGTCTGGTACCACACAGCGATACATCCCTTCTATTGCATCACTATAGTCTCTCAACAGTCTCACTAACATAGGGGCTCTGTTTCGCTCAAATCCTGGAGTATGAACATCAGAGACTCTAATAAAATTCGGTCCAAACCAGTCTCCTCCTGAGTAAGGACTGTGAGGAAGTGGAAGACGGTTAGTATGACAGAGTAGAGCAGTGTCGTCAGTGGAGCCTACATCACCGATATCCACATAGCCATGATTAGGGATAATGTCGCCATTTAGACTGAGGTACACAGCTGAGTAGAAGTTTGAAAATGTAGCACAAATTTAGTAGGTTTAGATTTCACATACAGGCTAGGGTGTGGACATCTCGAGGATGACTGTAAACCCCTGTGCCAGCACTGGTCTCTGCTGCCACTTGCACAGTGTAGACTGTCTCTTTGGTCAGTCCAGAGATGGTGGTGCTTCCTCCAGTGGAGTCTCCTGACACCATCTGGACTGCAGTCCTGTCTCCCTCACCACCTCCCACCTCTCCATACCTCACCCTGTAGCCTATTATCTCTCCATTACGATGTCTACAGTCCACTGATCCCCACTGGACCGTGATTGCTGTGGAGTTTACCACTGACACTTCCACGGAAGTTGGAGGAGCAGATGGAGCTGCATTGTAAGTGCTTATGAATAGACTAAAATGATAGAGTACGATACACAGACCAGCACTCATTGTAAAAGCTGAAATGCTGTCCACTCTGGTTCCTCCATCAGGTAGCATGGCATTCACAGTGATAAAGTATCTGATGTGTTCTTCCAAGCCAGTCAGATTGTATGCTGTGTCACTAGTTGTGATGGTACTACTGGCATTGAAACAGTCTGTGTCAGTTTTGGAGTAGAAGATGGTGGAATTAGCCGGCGTAGCACCTTCCTCTAGCGACCATACTATGCCCAGAGATGTGGTTGAGGTGTAGCTGATTGATATTGTCAGTCCGTCTGTAAACAAATATCAAGTGGGGCGTTTACTGAGTTAGCACTTTAAGAGATGATTTGTCAGCAAACTAACAAAAACAGTTGATTTTGCCTGAGAGAGTTAGTGATTATGTACTACCATACTAACCGTTTGTCAAATAAACACGGCCATTGCTGAATGGCCCTCTTCCAATAATGTTCACTGCTGCCACTTGCACGGTATACTCAGTAGACGGCATCAGCTCCAAGATAGCGGTCTCTCTAATATCGCCAACATTGAACATCTTATCATTCTGACCAATACTCTCTACATGAACCATGTAACCAGTGATCCTTCCGTTACGGTGTAGACAGGGCACTTCGTCCCACTTGACAGTGATACTGGTTGGTGTGATAGTACCATTTCTTACTGAAGTAGGTGGACCGGAGGGAGCTGCAGAGTACAGGTTAAAGATGAGAAAAATAAGCGAGTATACTTCTCACCTGATTCTTGTGTCATGATAGTGATATTATTACTACTCCCACGGCTAACCCCTGCCAAATTGAATGATTTCACGGCAATCGTGTATCTATTGCCTTCTTCCAGATTTGTGACCCTTTTAACAATAGTTTCTTCGTCCACGCGGAGAGTTTTGTTGTTCAGATGGGAGCACCCCACCGAGGTATCTCGGTACCACATTACATAATAGCCTGTCATCACTGAGTCACTGGAAACGGTGCCACTGATGTCGATATATGTAGTGCCCGGGCAGGATGTGAACCGAGAGATGGTGGGTCTGGGACTGTGGACAAAATGAAAGACATATTGATCTTCCTCAGACTTGTGGGTATTGTCACCTCCCTGCTGTTCATGCTATGAAGTGCAAGGCTTACCTAAGCCCACAGCCATGAGAGGTGTTTTACTTGGCAAGCGCCGTTGAGAGATGGCTTCAATGGATATGTAATAGGTGTCTCCGTTTTGAAGATTAGTTAGAATGCGTCTACCACCATCAACAGGCAAACTCTGACTGTCATAGTGGATCCTATAGCCAGTGGCATCACTGGATGGATTCCAAGACACTAGGATACTAGTGGGACCATCCTGGACTGCTGTCACATTAGTGGGAAGAGAAGTACCTTCAGAGAAGCATTTTATTATGTACACGTGTGGGAGAAATATAAAATTTACTTGTGTTAATCCTGGCTGAAGCAGAGGATGGTTTATTATTAGCCACAGTACAAGTGTACTCTCCTGCAGTAGTCACAGTCAGAGTGTGGGTGTACCGTGCAGTCACTGGGTCATTCAACACAGTCTGGGTCCCTTGGGTGACAGTGGTGGAGTCTCTGGTCCAAGCGACAGTGGTAGCAGGTCCACCAGTGGAGATACAGGTGAGAGTGAATTGAGGATTGGGTCCATTGAGGTCAGAGTCCTCAGTCATTGTTATGTCTTCGGCTATTGATATATCTCCTGGTAAGGTACAATCATACAGCCATGTAGCTAACTGAAAACAAGTGCAAAGAGATGTACCTCCCCTGCTGGTATAGAGTCCCACATAGACGGTATCCCTCACTGAGGTATCATTCTCATCATAAACAGCAGTAGTCGGAATATCACAGCGGTATATACCAACTGGTGAAGTAGCATTGCTTCTACGCTGTAAGTCAACTCTCCGGTTACCACGGTGCTCATAGATATCAAGGTCACCCACGGAAAATGGCAGTCTATCTCCATCAGGGAAACACCAATCTCCAATGTGGTCCCCATAACTACTGGTACAACACGTGTACAAGTCAGTATGACACTGAACACTGTAATACGTCCCCACTAGAGTGAGGTCCACATAGGAGTGATTGGCCAGAGTCTGGCCGTTGAAGGAGACATAAGGAAAGGTTAGTTGAGAGTGGACCTCCACCAGAAATAAGCTGATACTTAGCAGTAATAGTAGCTTCATTGCTCAAAACACTCGGTTGTTGGCACTTTTCTGCAGAGCATCGCAATGCGGGCTGTCTAGTCTACGCATGCGCAGGAAAGATGTGGACGCAAGAGCACTTCCGTACGTACCGCGTGCGCGCGCAGTGCTGTGAGTGATTCAGAAGGTCCCGCCCGGCTTCCGACAATAATAGCCACATGTGGCCAGCTTCAAAATTATCTGTGGATCATATGTAGCTACTGTGCCATGCAGAATCCATGTTCTATACAAGTAAATTCTCTGATCACCATTCCCTTATTCTCTCCATCTTCCTCACTGTCCTCAGACCCACCATGGACACCAGGTGGATTGGGTGCTTTAAAATATATAGGAGGCAGCAGGAAGGACAATATCAATCTCAAGTCAGACATTGTAGGTTGAAGGTTGAAGGAGGTCATGTAGCTATAATATAGTACGTGACAATCATCAGTAGCAGACATTATTGCAGCAAGCACTGACGTTAATGCACGGCAAGTTCTAAAAGTTTGGACGGTGCGTGTGTAGTGAGGATTGCGTCTGAGAACTATAATATAGCTAACTGGTTCCAAGGGGCTGCCTCACTGTGAACGCAGGGCTAGCTTGAGATATATACATGAGTGTATACAGTGGTTGCTGTTTTTGTATGTGAGCTTTTGAAGGTAGTAGCTTCCACTGACGATCTAATGTCCTTGGCCACCTGTGGCAGGCTTCAGTGACTGCAGCTGTGGAGCGCATTTACAGGAACTATGATTCGAATAGTCATGATTGATCATTTTCCCCTCCCATGGCAAACTACCCTGAACCCAGTTCAGTACATGCGAAACTATTGTGGTATCGCAGTCAGTCCAGCAATCCAGGCCATGGGGAAAACACACAAGTTTTTGTTATTGTTTCAGGTTTTCTTTTCAATTCAACAAACTTTCTATTTCTACAAAATGTATACGTAACAAAGGTGTTCAGTCAAAAAAGTATTTATGGTAAAAGCATTCTCTGATCATCATCTGCTTCTCCACCTCTCGCATTTCCTCCATTCCCAGCATGAGCATTGGGTGGATTGAGGGTTCTAGCCAACAACTTGTTCTTGATGTACCAGGAGGCAGAAGAGAGGGCAATGAGCCCAGCAATAATCCCAATCAGTCCCTTGACTTGAAGGTTCAAGGGGAATAGTACAAACATGTACATAACAATCACTAGCATCAGTGCAGCAAACATCAATGTCAGTATACAACAAACTCCCCAACTATTGATGCAATATTTCCTATAAGATAGCAAATAAGTATACTTGTAAAAGAAAATGGATGAAACCACTAGGAAAACATAAATCATAATCAAAATAAACAAAAAGGCCAAAAATATGATACAGCTTCTTGATTGCTCAGTGAGCAGTAGGAACGAAATTGAAATGGTATCCATGATTAAATGATAAATAAAAAGCATAAAGGCTGAGATGGTGACATATTTTGGTTTACGAAGACATATACATTTTACAGGTTTTGGCAGTGGAACATCATTACCGCAACGATTTTTGTATGAACTTATAAGACCCCCAAATATAATCAACATATGTATAGATATTTCTACACCAAAGGCTGTTGATACAACATACTTTGGGTAGAGAAGTGTTTTGATCTCAGAAAAGCGCATTGCAAGAAACCTCACACTGAAAAATTACAAACGGCAAAAGTCCCCCAGTAGATGCTCTTACGTTCTGCTGTAGTTATTCTAGAAACTATCTGTTTGTGTACTGCTGGGAAGAACCTTATTATGACTAATGCTAGGGTGACAGACAATACCACATACTCTGCTAGACCCAGCCGGAAAAAATTTTGGTTACTCAGTGACCACCAAAAAAGCTTTAGAGTATTCTCACTGTCACTTTCATCATTATATCTGTGATCAATTGTGACGGATCCTCTCTGACTCTGGTCCCATGTCATAATATGTGACTCTCCTCCATACTCTGAATATGTTTTGATCTGAAGTGGACCAGTATATGTATAATATGACACACAATGCTTTGATTCAACTTACCCAACTTAACAGTTCTAAAAGAACACACTGTGTTGAAGAAAGTGACGGATTGCAAGGCCAGTTTTCAATTGTCAACTTCAGTTCAAATCTTTTGTCTTCAGAATCAGGCAGATTATGATTATCAGGCATGCAAAATGAGAGCACACTCCCATGCAAAAGAGCAAGCCAAGTAATTAAATTATTAATTTCTTGTCTGCTTTCCTCATTCTCCAAGTTACTGAGAGTCTGTGACTTGAAGGTGAACTGGAGCGGGGAGCACAACGCGTCTGTATTATCAAGGCAGAAGGTGGGAGTGGAAATGAATTCATCATCACAAGGGGTGTCAGTTAAATTCACCACACGAATCTTTACATCCAGTGGAAGTGGGGTATCACTATCACTTACAAAAGCAACCCTCAATTTCTCCAAGGCCTCACTTTTTAGAAGAGCTTTTTCAAACCTCAAGTAGAGGTCGGAATAATGTGGGTCGAAAACGTATGAGCTGTAGCTGGAATAAGCACATACATCATCAATGGTCTTCATAGCGACTGGAGCAACTAGAAACATTAATAGGCAATAACAGACTGAGCACTCCATTGCTGTAGGGTAAGTGAAGTGCGCTAGTTCAGTCGCAGCAGCTTTTCGCGATCGCCGGGTTTACGCACGCGCATAAGCGCACGTGATGGTAGGTGTAGTGTACGTAGCGAAGTGAGCATGCGCCTACTTTTACTATTAGGGTTGTCTGAAATTTACTTGCCAGTATTGAATGAACTAGCTAGCTACTACCAGGGCAACTGTATTTGGGACCAAGGCAGCTAGGATGCTTTCATTTTCACCACATTCTGCTGCATCTTTGCACATGTTACCTGTTGAATCTCACACGATCAGCACACAAGTCTTCTATCTGCTGGAATCAGGTTACTTTCACTTCCCCTCACTCATACTTACAAAGACTGCACCTTTTGTCATGTAAAACAATCTCCTTTCCTTAGCTCTTCAAGATAATGCTGAATCAGAACATACATGGTGATAATAAGTGAAATGAATGATATAAACTTCAAAGAATTGTGTGCCATGAAAACTGTGATCGAATCATCAAAGCCATAAATACACTAGCTACACACATAGTAACAGGGGCACAAAACACACTCAGGACTATAATAGAGCTACTCTGCGTTACTAGTGTGCATGGTGGGAGAGTCAGGGGTTGTCAAGTCGTCACTGCGAGAAGAGGGTCGCGAGGTGCTGATGGTGGTTCTCAGTGTTGACATGGTGCAGTAGGCTCCCTCCTCCTCTGCTGCCAGGACGGCTGCCGTCAGGTTCGGCTCCAAGGTGAACACATCTTTGCCCATTGGGACCTGTTTACCCTTTATCCTCTGCCTCTCCAGTCTACTTGGAGTGTAGCTGGCCGCACGTCTGCATAGAGTGCATATGTGTAGTAAACTATTAAAGGCAGAAGTATTATGCTGTAATTAGGTAAGCCCCGATTCCTGTACTAGTTTTGGAGATATGTTGTTTGGACCCCACTGTTCGACGCCTAGGCTTTCATTGCTACTAGTTAAGTAAGCCCCTGATATAATTAATCGAGACTGGTTTGGAGCTGCATGATACTGAGTTAGTATGGAGACCTTGTCAGTCTTGTCTGCCTAGCTGTGTATGTAACACATGCACGTCAACGAGTCACATCCTGAATTCTAACCATATCACTGCCCTGGTTCTCACAAACTGGACCATAAAGAGGCATAGGTAAGTTACCTAGTGGCCAGACTGTCTGGATTAATCCGAACTGGACAGCTCAATTTGTCTAACATTCCCACCCCCCGTACTATAGTATTGAGTCTCGTTACCAGATCCCCTCTCGCTATGTCTGGTAATGATGGGGTGGTGTAATGAGACCTAGGCTGAAGTTACACACACGCAAAGATGGGCAACAAGAGGTGTGAACCTTGGCATTCACTAATAACCAGTGGTAAACTAAACCAGGCTGTTTGATAATCATAACTTGTAGGCCGACACTCTAAGGTTCTGTAGGTAACATTGAACTAGTACACCTACAACACTTTCTATAGGGGCAACCAGAAGTGAGTATTAGGAGTGAGTGCACACCTCTTGGCCCAAAACCTCCACCCACCGACCGTGACTGGCACCAGGAGCACCACCAGGAGCACCACGCTTAGCACCGGGACCAACACAGCCACCAGCAGCACCTTCTCTCTATCGCTCTCCTCCTCCACTGCCTCTGCAGTCAGGACAGATGAAACAGTTAGGTGATATAATACATGCCACTCAATAGTCCATAGTGTGTGGACAGCTAGTCACTGTATGTACGTAGCAATAGAGGTGTTACTGTGTGTGTATATTATAGCAATAGTAAAAATCAAGCCTCGTTTCCAGGCCTCTTCCACTATATATGTACTAAAGCAGCATGAACATTGCACATGCAGGAAGGTTAAAAGGAAGGCTCGATCCTGAAAGTTTTAAACTGCACACCAATTAACTTCGTAACGTAAGATGGTGGCTACTAATGATGGGGGTGGGGAGAGGAGGAGTCACCTGAAGGTCCAATGCTGGGTGTGGGTGAAGAGGAAGGAAGAGGAGGGGGAGTGGTCACTCCCTCAACTGGCATCCACACACTCCAGGGGGTGGGGTCAAATTCAGCCGGATACCGCTGCACTTGAACTTTTACCCTCAGCCGAATCTACCCAGACCATCCACATAACAAACTAATAATAACACGGTAGATTGTAGGAGCCCACCTCATAGCTGTGAGCGTTTTCCAACTGGTCGATGAAGACCCAGTCCTGCCCGGCATCGACCTGCTCCGTAAGCCCCTCCCCCTTCTCGCCGACCGTCCGATACTGGACCTGGTAGTAGGCGAATACGGTCCCCAGTGGTGGGGGGAGGGTGGGGTGCCACTGGATGACCAGTCCTTCGTTCTGGTGGGTTCGAGAGACCGTGACGTTCAGGAAATCCAGTGGAGAGCTTTTAGGAGCTGCGAAGGGAAAAAATTGACAGTTGAAAACCTGTTATTGTAAGTAGATAGCTAGGGGAAAAAACAGTTGCGATACATGTTTGTGTTCACGGTTTAAGCACTCTCGGTGCACTGCACCAGACTCGCCTCAGTGGCCGAGACATAGGGTGGGCAAGTGCATGCAGAGTATCTACCCTGCAGAGACAAGGTTGAGTGTGCCGGGCCAACACCTGAGCCATAACAAATTTACAGGGTTACAGCAATTCCCCGCAAAACATGACAGATAAGGGGCAACTAGTACATCAGTGCCGCGAAGCGCATAATTTTGATTCCCATCGGCTCCAAGGTCTTGTATATTATGTAGAATATTTCTTGGAAGGGTTGGCTCACCAGGACCATATGTGTAGGCTGTCTGTTCCGGACCATCTGCTCCCTGGCCCAGAGGAGACCACGATTTAACCCTCACACGATACTCGCTGCTTGCATTTAACCCCTCCACCACCCAGGGAGACGAGGAGGGGGGGAGAGTCCCGGAGGAGAAGGTGAGGTCGGTTAGGGTGTGAGTGGTGAGGATCTCGTAGCGGAGGAGGAGGGGGTGGATGGAGGGAGGTTGGGGAGAGGACCAGGCGACGTAGAGACTCGTGGTGCTATCGGCAATGACCGAGAATGGAGTAGGACCTGGGACATCTGTGGGTGAGGGAGAATGTGTCTTTATCCACAGTGTGCATTCAATATCTAACCCGAAACTGCTGGTTTGAAAGTTCTGGTGTGAAACACGAGTGCCAAACATACCTTCACCAGTTTTTCAATGGTACGTGCATGCAATGGTTTTCATGTGTCTCCTAGCACAATACACAATAGGTAGTAACAGTGATATCAGGTAATCGAAGTGCCACACCAAAAACTAATGCTGTTTCTACATGTTCCCAGGGATTATGCAAGGGGAGGACTAGGAACGAAGTTAAGGCGAGTGAATCTGCCTTAATTGCCATCAGAAGTTCCATTCATATGGTGCGGGCATCTCAAAAACTTGCCTCCCCTTCGCACGCACACGCACGCACACACACACGCACACACACACAGTACATGCAAACCCCATGACTGACTGTGGACACAGATGGCAGTGGTGCTGATGACTGAGCCATACTGGTTGCCCACGTGGCACTGGTAGACTCCAGACACCGGCTCCAGCAGTACCAGCTCAGTACTCCCCTTCCTCTCCCCACTCCCCAATTCCACACCCCCCTCCGACGAGATGACCGTCCCGTCCCGGTACCACCTCTGGGATGGAAGTGGGACACCACCAAACGAACATTCCACGGCCAGATTGGTGGTGTACGGAATGGAATGTGGACCAGTTCCGTTTCCAATTGTAGTCGCCAGGTGGTTCACATGTGGATGTGCTGTACACAATGAGATAGGGAAGTATTAAGATGCATGGGAACACAATTATAATATTATGCCTATGAGTATGAGCTTGTGGAAATTAGTGTGTTTTCTCTTGTGTTATGACTAGTGAGCCTCATATTATCTATTTTTCAGCCATTCGGAATTGGTTCATGTTTACTATACTCATGGGATCGCTCACTAATAAAGTGCAACACTTATACATATCAGTAGATACTAATGGTGTTGTTGAGTTATGGCCCCCAACCACCAGGCAGTCTTCCCTTATGGCAAGGCTCAGTACTACTGCCAAACCCACAACTCCTATAATAGAAGGAATCACATTTAATCAGCCAACAGTGGACAGTGAGTGGGACAATCTATATCCTTGCAAATCAACCTTGGCTCTTACAAAAGGCACCATCACAAAGTGAACAAACTTATCAATCAGACTGCAAGTGATCAATTCTTGCACAACCATGGCTAGGCTCTTGAATTGTGAGAAGGTCAATCTTATCAGTGCTTCTTGCACTGTTCTGGAACCAAGGCAATGCCACACAGACACTACACAGACCCTTCTGCTCTCTCTCTCTCTCTCTCCTTGCCTATAAAAAAGTCATTTCGACAGTGTACAAGACCCTTATGTTCCTCTGCTATAAGTTGTAGAGAGTGAGCTGAGCTTTGCAGGCAACTACACCACTTTACTTCCCAGTCCCCCCTGCTTGAAAATCGTATCACAAAAATCAGCTGTAGGACCTGGTGTAAACATCACTTGCTACTGATGGATACATACAGGATGTAGGTCTGTATGTGTGGACAGTGAGGTACTGTTGACTCACAGTGTACAGTCAGATGACCACGCTCTGACGGGCTGAAGATCATAAATGGAACCCCTCCATAGCAGACCATCATTTTACCACTGTCCTCGAGCGACACACTGCCTATCGTTAGCACAGGGACGCCCCCAAACTCCGGGTAGTCAAACGCGGTGGAGAGTCTGAACATCTTGAGGAAGTAGGAGAACTCTCGAGAGGTGTGGAGAGCCACACACTCCATAGAGTAGAGGGATCCTTCCAGGAGTGTGATGTTGCGAGGATGGAGCAGGAACTGTGGGGTAGAGCCTGCAGGCGATGGACAGGTCATGCACAGTGAATGTGGTATCATTAACTATGGTATAGTACTTAGGGATGGGCATGGTATATACGTAGTACACAAAATATGTGGTACACACACAACATACAAAGATATTTTGTTACTGTTTCAAAGTCAAGCCAAGAGTGTTGCCTGCCAACCCTTACATGTGGAGGACACATACACAAAGCGAAAGGGTGTGTGTGCTATAGTCCTTTGTGTTTCCTATATTATGCTGTTCAGGTGAAGGTGTGGGAGAGGTTATGTGGTGTTCTACATACACGTGCAGTCATCGTGTGTACATACATATACATGTGGAGGACTGTGAGGTATGTATAGATAGCGAACTGCAGTCTTCCAAGCAACACCAGGGGGAGGACTAATACCTAGTTATGAGTAGGAGGATATACTGTGGCAAACACAGTGTGTATACCATGTAGTGTGTTGGCACTGTGGGCAGGTTCCGAGAATGTATGGGTGCCTGCTCCACCGCAAAAGATGCACGTTGCATAGTTGTAAAGTGACAGTGCTAACCAAGTTTACAGGCAGTGCCAAGCTAGGCATGCTACAACTGAATTTTGAATTACGTGGTTACGTGAATGGCAGGCTAACCTACAAACCATTGTGTACTCTAGCTTCCTGTGGCCAATGCACGGCTCTATACACCCTGTATAACAGTCTATGGCTAATGCCGTAGCATCCTGAGGCTCTACAGTAAGGGTGATAGAGAGTCAAACCCCTCCAATAATCAGTTGTATAAGTAGACGGTGCTGTCCGTATCACATAATTGTTTAAACTTCGCACTTGCTGTATGCTCACCAATTACGTTGCATTGCATTGCAATTGTTCCCCAATAGTTTTTAGGGTGCACTAAGAGAGAATCTTGTGGTACATGGAACAGTCACCTTCAAATTCCAGTTGAGGTCTCACGGTGAGAGTGGCTGAAGGGCTGGTCAGGTCCCCGGCACTGTTCTCCACACGGCAGCTGTAGGATCCTGCGTCCTCCGGCACCACATCCCTCATCAGGAGAGTGTGGGTCACGTTTGACACGTAGACCCTCGTTTTGTCCGCAACGACAGGGTTTCCCTCCTTGAACCAGGTGTAGGTTGGGGCTGGCACGGCGTCGCCCGCAGAGCACTCAAAGAAGGCGATGCTCCCTTCTGCAATGGTCAGGTCTTGCGGGGCACGTGTGAAACTTCCGAGAGCTGCAGATGGTATGCGTTGAATGGATCATGTACACTTGTATGGACAAACACCAGTCAACAATCCCATCACATTTCTTTCCCAGTGACATTACTTACATTCCTGTTACTTATGAATACTTTATAGTGAGTCTAGATTTACTACTGCGTAAATAATAGTTATCCGAATACATCGCTTGATCGAGGATCGTTTTTGGGTTAGTTTCATATGACCAAGTAGGGTGGGTAAACCAGGCCTTTTGGGTTAACATCAACCAGTGAAATAAAGACTTCTAAATAGCACGTAAGCATAAGGTATGTACGTATAAGATCAGATTATAACTGAAAGCTGCATGTATTGTATATACGTAGTGTAGTGCCCGTTGGAAAATTGTCAATTTGGGCAGGGTCTCTGCTATAATTTGCTAGCCTAAGTCTCCATACACATGCAGCTATCGTGTGTACATACATTATACATGTGGAGGACTGTGAGGTATGTATAGATAGCGAACTGCAGTCTTCCAAGCAACACCAGGGGGAGGACTAATGCCTAGTTATGAGTAGGAGGATATATACTGTGGCAAGTCTAATTAGACAGGGGCAAGACTCATGGAGAACCGGATGATATTGAGGAAAACAAGTGGGGCCAGAGTGATGCACAAAGTCCTGGCAATTTGCTCCCATTCTCTAGCCAATTACACCTCGTAAACTCCCACTTAGTTTCAAACTCATCACCATTACACACTGAGTGTGTCAAGATACATATTGTGTACTAGTGTCGATGTGTATATAACATGAGGGAAGAATGTGTACACATGTTTCCAGTGTTTCAGGACACATTCCACACTACATTTCCTTCTCTTGTATCAAACTTCTGAAGGAGACATCCCGAAGTACATAGAAACAATGAATCACACGCTGCAAGTTAGGTACCTGACGTGAGCCACAGATTACTAACAACAAGCCACAAAGTCAGAGCCATAATTATGTATCGTATGTGTAGCTAACGTAATGTCTAACTATTGTGGTGGCCATAAACTAACAGCCTTGCCACACGACATTCCTAGCATTTCTGGCACAACCAGCCACGGAATGACTTTTTAATTGGCAAAAGCAGAGACTATTCCAACTAATCGGGCGACTCACTGACACGTGTTCATTCTCATTCGTGCATGCCTCACTGCTCAAGCAGGCACACATGTCTTAGGCAGTGTATACTCCCACAATAACCGTCTTACGTATTCAACATCAGTATATAGCACACTGGCAATCAAAAACTAATTATCTAAAAGTCAATCTATTGCTCGTTACTCAATGTTGAACCTCTGACTGTATATAATTATTGAGTTGCCTTTAATAGCCCTTTGCTCCAGAAAGCACAGCCTCGGCATGCAGGGAGTCAATGGACATCTGCCAGGGAAAATGCTCATACATGTGCACAAGGGTGTGTGTACTATTGTCATCTACTGCTGTCCAAAATTTAATTACTGTGACTCTAGTGGAGAATGCCATGTACTACATATCGGCGTAATTCCACAACCATTAACGATTGGTTTATTGGCGAGGACTGCAGCAGGCGTCTATAATCTTTACAAGGTTTGTATGCTACACCTGTGTTCAGTGGTGGCTCCTCCCTCTGTAATTAATCACTTAGCTCCACACATACACCTGACTGTCCCCGAATTATCTTTGCATTATTTCCTATGCCCATTCTATGTACAATATAAGAATATTCGTGCTATATACACTACATAAGTACGTAGCTACATACAGTGAGTATGTACTTACAACTGTTATAAAAGGGACATAGAGTAATATTGAAAAATCCTTTGATCATTTACGGCTAATGACTCGGTCACGTATGCAGTTCACGTACATCATTGAAATGTCTGGCAATACAGAAACACACGCACAACAGGTGTCTTACAGGCAGGTTGGACGGTCCAGGTAGCCACCACGGTACGGCCGGCTGGGTTGGTCACCAGTAGCTCATAGAGCCCTCTGTAGCCTTGGCTGCTGTCGCTACTCACATTCAGCATGGCCCAGGTCTTGTCGTGCCTCGTCCTCATCTCGACTGTTAACGAAGGGGCAAGGGGGACGTGGTCTCGTCTCCATTCCAGGTGGGTGATCCCGGAGCCAGAGATGAAGACCTCGAGGGAGAGGGTGAGGGATTGAGGGTGGTAGATGTAGCCGGGACGAGGATAAGAGACCGCCAGACTCGGGGCTGGGTGGACACACACACACACAAACAGACACACCTAACACTCTGCAAGTAAAAGCATAGTTTTACACATTGCCCAAAACAGCTTGGTCACCATGTTCACAGTCCTGAGTCCTTAGGTCAATTAGATTGCTACTGATGGCAGGGTTTACTTGGGCCTGATTGGCATAAAACTGCTTTGCTATAGACATCACATGTATGTATTAACGTGCCGAAAAAAGTTCAATCACTGTGCTTGAGTAGTATGTGGTAAGAAGCAAAAAAAAACCACACTTACATATGGGTTGTATGTATGCGTTTTCATGTGAAATATGTTCATAAGGCGGATTTACAGTAGTCATGTTTTGAGCCAAACAGTAGTATTATCCATCAACATCATTACACATGGATCTCTGGGTTATGGGGGAAGTTGAAACCAAATTAGCTGATTGGCAGACTTTCTTTACATGTCACCGTATACATACACAGTGTCACCCTACACTCCATGTTTGTGAGCGTGAACACTTACAGCATGCTCTCAGTTACCCGATATGTACATATAATATAGGGAACATGTGTATTTTCACAGCTTGGATTTCCGCAGAAATACAAGAAATTGAGGACAATACATCGTGTTGAGACTCCGGACAGAGATAGCCATATGTTACAGCATATCACAACTATAATAGCCATAAAATGGTGTCACAGCATATTACAATAAGAAGATGTGGAAACCCTATCTTATAGTAACGTACAGTTTTTGGCAATTAACCAAATACACTCCTAGGGGACATGCCCTTTTTCTTACCCAATGCTAGTGTAAGAGATGTGGCTGACTCATTCCCTGCCGTGCATGCGCACACAGATAAGCCCCTAGTACTACTGGGCATATGTGAGTCCCCAGTGGGTAATGAAAATGGCATTGCATGCCTTCTCCGTTAATAGTTCTGCCTTTTAAGCTTCTGCCAGCTGTGTTATGAGAGCTATCTTACCACTAAACAAGATTCTGGCCCAAAAAATGAACTGACAAACAAACAGACAGACAAACCACAAACCATGCAACTACTCTATACCACTGTCAGCATGAGTGTGCCTGTCCCTGTCATACAGAGTTCCTCAAAGAGAGTGTAAAACACAAAGAACAAACCCACAACTCAACTTTTGGCATGTCTTGGACACATAGCATGCAATCATATGCTACAATGCATGCAGTATGTGTGTACATAGAGAGACATGCATTCGTGGGTAGTAACAGACCGTGGACTGTCTCACAGGGACAGTCACAGTACGAATTCTCACCAGGATAGTTGAAGACACACACATAGCGATGTTCCTCAGAGCACTCGGCGGTCACCATCTCCCCTCCCCACACCGTCACACACTCCCCAGCCTCACTCCCCCTCACTGCCAGGGACCGCTGTACACTCTCCACCACAGAACTAGGAGCATTCTTCCACTGCTCACCAACCATCTCCCCTCCCTCTAACCTGTAGCATATAGCACAACGATACGCGGTTTGTCAAAGAGTGATACAAACATTATCGAGAGTGGGAAGGGAAACACAGCATCATAACAGGGAGTCAGGCCTACTATTAGTCTAATTCTGTGTTACAAAAGTCCACATTAAGCTTACATCGGGTGCGATATTAGACAAATTATACATGATTTCATTAGACAACTCTTGGGCACTATTTGTGTGGTAGTCGAGTTGATATGTGCAGTGAAAAATATGCGTGGTAGTCAATTGAAATGGGTGGTAGGTGAGTTTAATGGGTGGTGGTTAAAAGCATCATACGTATTATACCTGTATCCCACCCAGACTTGGGTAGTACTGAGGTTCAGACTCTCCAGGTACAGTTGGAGCATCTCCCACTCCAGTTCCTCCTGGACTGTCACCAGAGCTCCTCCCACCATCTGGCACTCCTGGGCTGCAGCTGACTGGGTCGAGTTGTGCTCCGAGAAAGACAAGCAGGCGGAGCAGGCAAAGGGGTAGTGGGTAGACACCGGACACTGGTGGACCAGTGACACTAGAGGCACAACTGCGTGGTGGGTGAAAAGTCATCATACCTGCTAACACTCACTGACTGATTTCCGGGAGTCTACCGGATAAAGGGGACAAAGTTTCTCAGAACCCCGTGAAAACTCTCCAGAATTTTTAGCAGTTGTAACTCGTGTTTATCCTTTCCAGGTGTATCAGGTTTTTAAAAACTGTTAACAGGTGGACATGTCATCACGTTTGGTTATGTTGGGGATCATGAAGAGTGAACTCAATGAAAGTACTGCTGAGCGTGTACACCTCAAAGTGTTACTGAGTATGTGAAGAGACTGAGCTCTGGTATTCACAAGTGTGTATTGAGTTTTGTAACACTCGTTATAGGCTACTTGGCACATCACCACTGGCCCCCCTTCCAACCCAGCAAATCTAACATGTGGTTTGGAATGGACTCCCCTTGTGTATTATCAACCAATTGAGCTAGCTAGCCATCCTGACTTCAGGGAAATAAATTGAATCATAATAGCGTTGCTGTGATAATTCAATCCCATTTGTCGAAATTAGGCCTACCGATGCAGGCAGCCCACTACTCAACTGATACTGCATTTGGTGCTATATACTGTAATACTCATGATGCACACTTAATGCTCTGCATATAAAGCTCGCAGAGTTTATGGTTTGCCAACAATGTAGAACCAAACTTGCCTTAGTGATCACGTAGGGTTTGAGCTAATAACAACAAAGCAGGCCTAACAACTTCTTGGCCAAAGAGCTGTCGTCACGCATGCAAACACATCTGCTCTGCAAACAAATGTACTCTGCTTGCATTCACGAGGAGAGAGAAAACGTTCTGTCCTCACTGAACTCCCAGCGGACGGCCAGGAATGTGTATATTAGCCGAAACTTTTTGGCAGGTGAAACAATGCACGCCAAACCTCGGCATAAACTGTCCTGGCCCACGGTAAATAAATCATCCACCGAGACAGTATAGGCCCGTAGAAAAAGGCACAGCGCAAAACGATAAAACATTCACGCAGGGTCTTGTAGGCATATGAGCTATATAATGCAAAACTGCCATGCACGAAATACGAAATACTCCGATTGCTCGCTCTAACACGAAGTGAATGGAACGTACATACAGTGCCTCGCATTATCTATGCCCGCACCCCTCTGCTGCTGTGAAAAGCAAACTCACTCCAGTAGAAGAGTAAACTGCAGACCACTATGCTGGTGATTCGCCACGGCAACATGATGGTCCCTTGTACGCGAACACTGGCACTGCTGCCTAGAGAATACTAATCTGAATGAAACTTCTGATTCAGACAGTGACACTGAGGTGACGAGCTGCTGCATCCACTCACTGCCAGTTTTCGAAGAAAAAGCACGCACGCTACCGTTTTATAAACGTAAGCCCTGTGCGCGCATGCGCGGGAGCAAATGCTGCCAGACGCAATGACTACACAGTATTATAGAGCTAGTGACAGTAAACACAAAAGCAATAAATACCGTGATATAAGAGCAGAAAACAGACTCACACACACAACCACACACATGCGTAAGGATGAGAGGCAAGGATAAAGATGCAGGGAGTGTCTGAAACTACTGCTGAGGGCATTGGCTGCTGAGTTTTCTGAGTCTGCTGCTCCTTCGTCTGCCTGGGATAACGGCAGGGTGAGCCTCTCTCAGATGAGGCAGTCCATCCACACTCTTTGACATTGGGAACAGAACTGAAGAAGAGAAAGGAGGTGCAGGTGGCATGGCCATTGGTAAAGGAGAGGGATTCACACATGTACATACACACAATGTGTCATGTGGTTTCACTAGTAATGCTGCACATCTTGCATCTGCCGGATTTTCAGTTAGTGGTGCTGTCTGTGTTATGCTTCAGCTCTCATATCCCTTCAGTGTGTGCCACTATGCTAGACACTTGGTTACCCTTCACTGCTACAGGCATAACCAATGAAGTCTGGGTCTTTCAAATGGCTAATAGTGATAGCCCAGTGGCTGTAGGTTTAAGGTGCACGTCCTTTTCTGGACAAACTAAACTTTATTGTCACATATAACGCATATTTTTTATTCCCTTTTCTTTACGACAACAGTAAAACTGAAAAACATCCACAAAAAGGTGATAAGATTAATCCCCACCACCCCCAGGGACTGTCCAACCAGAGGCACATGATTACTATACACTGCTCTGGTAGAGTAAATGGAGTTTTTGCTTGTTTCCATGTATATATACACCTATTAGGAGTAATGGGAATTTTTGTAATGCCAAACTTAGCACCAGAAACAGTTTGTAATTTGTCATCCCCAGGGAAACTCCAATGTGCAAGGATCCTGCTATATCCGAGGTAACTCACAATAATTATTGGGAACCCAATCACAACTGATCTGATCACACATGTACAACACGGCATACATACCAATGGTGCACATGCGCACTAGGCCTAATACAACAATACATGAAAAAACATGTTTATAGCATACTAGCTAAAGTATAATATCAGAGGAAAAGAAAGAACCTCCCCCACCCAAGCACACAAAACACAGACAAGACAATAACATATAAACAGAAAGAAAGAGGCAGGACCCTGGGTGCCCAGCCTTGAGAACTGGGGCGGTAGGTTAAAGAGTCTTTTATGCACATGCACATGCACACTAGGCCTAATACAACAATACTAGCTAATTACGCAATACACTACAGATCCGTTATTTGCTGTAGGTTATTGAATATCGTTGGTGGAAAGAATATTACAACATAAAACATTGACCAGACCACACATTACACAGCAGACCCAGTGCTGCACTAATTGTACTGAATTTACAAGTCCAATACCCACACAAAATGAAAAACATACAGCACTATGGTACTAGTATAGAAAACATTTATACTGGGAAGCTTTCGCGGGAGGAAACTTATGCAATTTGGTATAATTAAGGACGGCATTAGTCCTTTTGTGTATTACAGCGAATGCCGACTGCATTAGTCCTCACCCACACAATGAACAATGTTGCAACCTTTATCCCTACAATAGCCACATGCAATGCAGCTATTGTAGCATCTCACCGTTCTCGCGAGAAGAGACTCTGGATTTCTTGAGAGAGATGTTCTCTGTGGATTGCTCGGCCTTCTCGGAGGAGTTGTTGGAGATCCGGCTGAGGACGTCTCGGTCGATGAGGTAGCACGGGTCTTCGCTCAGCCAGCTGCCCTGCTGTCTAAGGCTGCGAGGTGGTGGGAGAGGGGATAAAACCGAGAGTGGCTCGGCAGGAGGCAGACCCATGTCGGTGCCCCAGACGGTGGCCGTCGCGACTTGAGGCTGTGCCGGAGTCTGCTGCTGCTCTTCAGAGTTCCCACTGTCGTAGTTGTAGAAGGCCTCGAGGTAGGGTTGGACCGTGGTGCCCCGGGCCAGGTCCTCTCGCTCGTTGTACGGAGGAAAACGGACTATTTCCTCTGGGAGAGGGCGGGAGTGCTTGTAGATAAACCACCTGTGCAAGAGGGTACAAAGCGCATATGAGGAAACTGAACTCAGTGCTCTGGCTCTGTAGACTGTAGTGTAGGACTCATTCCACTCTTTCGACCATTCCTCGGTTACCCTCTTACAAACTCCCTTGCCATTATTACCCCTCTCATTTTTGCCTGCAGCCTGTATGTAGCCTTCTTCCCAGTGGCGTAGGAACCATACACACTCAGGGAGCTGGTTGCCATTATTACCCCTCTCATTTTTGCCTGCAGCCTGTATGTAGCCTTCTTCCCAGTGGCATAGGAACCATACACACTCAGGGAGCTGGTTCCCTGCAAATTCCCAGGCTCGCAGCAAAAGGAGGAGGAGGAGAAGGAGAGGAGAGATGGGAGGAGAGGGAGGGAGGAGCAACACTGAGGCAGACAGAAAGGCAGGGGAGGGAGGGGGCCATAAATACACCCATACCACTACTATCTAGGCAGGCCAAAAGGCAGTTCTCAAAGGCAGTGGGATGAGGTGCCAAGCCTCTGGCCAGTTAGAGAGGAGGGGACCATTGTCCTATTGACTGGCACCACCTCCCATGGAGGACACTGGAACAAAGACACCTGATCCCTCACACTAGTCCAGATACTTAGTTAGAAAATTCTGTGAGTAAATTTTTCTTATGCATATATGGACTCAAAAACGTTTATCAATACCTGTATAATATGGCAGGCTTTTGTGTGTATGTTAGGCTAAACTACACTATGCGCTCCCTCGAGCGTACAACGGTCCTTGCCTCATATTACATTGCCTATGCATCCGATCTGTAGCAAGAACTCAATTGGTTGATAAAGGTAACACATAGGATGACAGTTAGAGACAGTACAGGTTAATGAGCTCCGTGTATTTACAAATATCACCTTGCCAGAAATAGCTCGCTTCGATAACCAAATTTATCTTAGGGTTACTAGACTGTGGTGGTTTAACAACAGCCATAGAATTCAGTGCCCTTCCACAGTGTAACTCAGTGCCATTCGAAATACAGCCAATTTAACAGGAGAAAAAAGGCTCACTGCGGTTGCAGTACAAGCGTAATGAGGGTAATATATACCTTAAAAGGTACAAATTCCACTCCCGCCAGTAAGAAAAAAGTACATAATTGCGCAAACACACACACACACACACACACACACACACCACACACGCACGCACAACACACACACACACACACACACACACACACACACGCACGCACAACACACACACGCACAACACACACACACACACACGCACGCACAACACACACGCACAACACACACACACACACAAACCAGACTGTGAATGTGTGTATATACTAGTAGTCAAAAAGAGGAACTCACGAATGTGTTCTGATCTCAGGGAGTGACAGCCTGTTGTCCGCCTCCTTCATCAGCATGCCTGTGATTAATTAATGCATGTTCACTGATATCTAATTATGTGTGTAAAATGCCACAAAAATCATAGACACGAATGCATGTGTACGGAGACGCAGCAGCGGTTTGTGCTGGCTACAAATTCATTTACAACTCAAAGTAATGGAGGAAGGAAAGAATAACTATGTACAATGACGTGTGGGAGAATATGCATGGTGTGTTTCGGGCTTGCAACTGATATATACAATATACAGTGTCAGGCTGACCTTTGAGGAGGTCCTGCAGTAAAGGTGGAAGGTCAGAGGGCATGTGGAACTGGGCGGATGAGATGGCTGCAAACAACTTGTACACATTCTCTCCCTCAAACGGAAACTTGCCAGTGGTGAAATGGAACCTGGAGCGGCAACAACCACATGTCACACAGGCACATCCTACTGTGTGGTGGGAGCACTCCCCACATTCACGAGTTTGTGAGACCGACAAAAAACTGACTGCTGATCAGCACAACAAATACAGTCATCTAGGAAGCTAAGGAAGCTACATATAGTTTACTGCCAGGTTTAAAGTGGCTTTAGTAGGAGATTGACTAGACCTTCCCCCAGTACAATACCAAGACCAGTAAAGTGAACAGGTGTGCTCATGAGAAAAGGTGAGGTTCAGGGAAATCCTGTGCAGACCTGAACACAGGTTGCAACACACTGCAGCTGGCTATTGTGCTAATAACCCTGGGAAAAAGCTACCTCAGGCACTAAGCAGAGAAACAAGACTTCCCAGGTGTTCTGAAGGAAGGTTATCTTACTGAGGAGAATCAAGTGCTACATGTACACCTGGGACTCTTATGAAGGCTGGAGTAACTTCCTGTTGATTAGTTTGAAACAAGAGGAGGAGATTGGGCCAAAAGGAGGGCCAGGGCCTATCACCCTACACCATTCCTCCTGTCTTCCCACAGGCTACTACACTACACTAACATAGGTATGCTGTGGGAGTTTGAGTTTGTTGATCAGAACATTCACCCCAGAATAACAAAGTCTGCATCTCATACACTGCATGTTGCCCTGTTTTCTCTGCTGGCAAACCCATCGGCCGAATAAAGGCCACCAGTGTACACTGCACACAAAAAGTATGCACTCCTATTAATTATGCATGCAAAAAAACGCAAATAACTACACTGTAGTGGAAATGGGGGGGAGATTGGTTCCTCCTCTTACACTCCTGCCACAATTCACTTGTTACAGGACATCGTGTATTGTAGCCCCCTATCCCTGACACCTGTGACAGGTAGAGATTGTTGAGAGCCAGGTTGAGGAGGATGTGACAAGATATAGACACACCTGGCTGCCTTCCTGTATTGCCGTGATACCAAATCATACTGGGATAGGACATTAAGTCTTTTCCAGGTGTAACATACAGCATAATAATATCCATGTAGTATTGTCTGTGTTGCAGGCTCTAATTAACCTATGTGATGTCTTGAGCAGTTGGTGTTATGGTGAGAAAGCCATGTGAGTAATCCCATTTGTCATGTCTAAACCCATCTACACTGTTGCATAACATGCAGCGTCCACCTTCCAAGCTCTAGCTATCCACCTACACATTACATAATACTCTGCTTCCTTTCCAGATGACCTTGGCTCCCCTCTGCCATTCTCTGCCAGGCCAAAGGTCATACACAAAGAAGAAGGAGGAGCCTGGGACCAAGGCTGAAGGAGGGAGCATACAAACGAGGGTATATAGTAGGAGGGAAGGAACAAGACTTGGAGGGAGTGCGAATGTAGAAAAAGAGGTCTTATGTACTATGACCTCGTGATCTACATACGTATGTAGATACATGTGTACAGTAAGAGGAGAGGCAACTCTACTCACAGAGTAACTCCAGTGGCCCAGATGTCGGCCTTGAACCCAGACCAGGAGTCCTGGCCAGAGGCTATCTCAGGAGGCTGGAAGGCCGGACTCCCCTGACACGTGCTGCACCTGTCACTGCACTCAAACTGACTCAACTCCTGCGGGCAAACAGACCAACCAGAAAAAGTGCATGCATGCACATGCAACAAAGTTTCCAACCACCTACAACGGTGGTGATTGACCATCACAGAAAAACAAACTACAACATGTGCAACAAGAAGCTGGAGCAAGATCTACCACTTTTCCCCAATTGCTTTAGAATCCAATGAATACGGTATATGAAGCAAAGCCAGCAATGCATGCAGTAAAAAGCAATGCGCCTTTAACCAAGGTCTTCCCGATTTTGGCCCAATCTTCATGCAACGCACAAACAGCAAACGCATGTGCTCCAGGCTAGCAGAGTGGTGACATGTTTTACAGCTTGTAATGACAGCAACAAGAACCATGCGTGATGTGACCCACGTGGTCATTGTACAGTACAGCGTGTACCTCTGCAACACCAAAGTCTGTGATTTTGACACTCTCATTGGTGTTGAGTAGGAGGTTGCCTGGCTTGATGTCCTTGTGAATGACCCCGCGGCTGTGCAGGTACTCCAGTCCGTCTATCAACTGGACAAAGTATCTGTGACCACGAAAAATGGTGGTTATACAATGTAGCATGCTCAAGGGAGATTTTCACGAATTTTCGAGAGCCATGCAACAAACATGTGGGCTATATCATTTGTATGTACAGAGAGATGTAGCCTTCATCAAATAAACTGGATGTACAAGCCTTCATCAGATAAGTCATTAAAGGATACAGTTGTATATAGCTAAGCATAACACACGTATTCAAAACTCTTTCTGCAGAGCCTGAACCTGAATGCATGCATTGTTGCTTTTTAAAGTGAAAATAAAAACAGCAAAAAGTCACCACTGAAGTAGTACACTACTGCCATGAAGTATGTGTATTATATATTTATATGTATATGTACCAACATGTAAGATGGCACACAAATTGTACATACAAAGAGACGACTGCAGAATATATGGGCACATGCTGTACTTCATCTACTTTCAGCAAAAGCAAAGGATATACCTACACGGCAATAACAGACAGAGTGACAAGTAACAATTGGCCAAGATGAGGCTCCAGATGTTATAAACGTGGCTTCTGACATTCAGTGCTACAGCTTTTCGCAGCAACTCAACACACTACATACGTGAATCTAAAAGCTTCAAGCAGGTATATACCGGTATGAATAAGTCTGAAAAGAAGGCACATATTATATGCAAGTATTTCCTGTGTGACAGTGTCATTGATGTCATTGTGTACAGACAACAATCGGACGACTATGGGGGCTTATAAACTACCGCCAATATAGGTTTTGGGTGTGGGGTTTAAGCAAACCAGGAGGGATGGAGTGGAGTTGTTAGTACCTGTGTGCCTGCCAGACTGGGAACCTGTGTGTCGGAGTCTTGTCCAGCATCTCCTGCAGTCCTCCCACACAGTACTCCAACACCACATAGCTGACGACGAGGAGAGTCAAGGAAATGACACTAAGAGGACCGTAGCCTAACCACCAGGGAACCGTATGGAAATCTAGTTGTAGTTTTGACAATCCCCTCCCCCTCTACCTTTCAGTTCTTTCTGCAACAGTACTGTACATGTATATACCCATGAGACTACTCTAATAGAATTCCACCCCTACACTACAGGGAAACAGTGAGACAGTGAGACATAATACATAATACAGGTAGTCAAGACATGAATGTGGGACTACCCATCCCACAATGAGAAACTAGTAAGTCGCTATCGTGTAGTTTGATAAACAGAAATATTTGCTTACTTACTGAAAGTAAACTGCTACATGACACTAGTCCGATGTGTACAGCCTCACCCATTGAAATGACTACACGTACATACAGAGATGTGTGTATGTTACAGACAGAGGGCGGTGCTAGTCATAGTAATGTATTGAGATGATGGGGTTGGATACAGTTTCATCTTCTGTGGATCTTCAAAGGTCTCAATCAGAGAAATTACATTTCTGTGACACAGTTTCTTGAGAATCTTGATTTCCCTGGACACAATACAGTGAGGAGGAGGGAGGGTAAGGGGGGAATGGGGAAGTTTGGGGAATGTGGAAGTCAGGGGGCAACAATATAGAATCATCCAGGAAGTGGGATCCAAGGTCAGCAACACACAAATTTTAAGCCTGTGCAAGTGGTTGTTGCACTTAAAACTTGTGCCACCAACCAAGGAGATTACTTTGGATACAGATCTAGATCTACCATTAGAGTACAGCATAAAAGTTACTAATAGTCTATGTCAATTCTTGAACAAGCTATATACATACATACACTAGACTTTGAAGAACGAGAACTTCAAGGTTTGGTGTAAACATCCTTAGACTGGAGTCACCCCAGGAAATGTGGCTCACTTAGATTGTAGTTCTGAGGGACACTGGTGGCCATTGCGTATGGGGGTGAGGAGGTATAACTCACTGAGGTTCTGCTGTTGGCTAACAATGCACCACTACCAGGTGGTACTGTCCTACCAGACTATAAGAGGAAATTGCAAGTGCACTCTTGTTGTTAATCACAAGGTCACATTAATTGGTGCCATGTGCCCATATACATAGTACAGTAGTCAAACAGCAACATGCATATGGCAGAATGGCCATGCAGTCAGGGCAACTATAATCGACTTCTCGTGCCGAATCGCCCGTAGACTATGGCTAGTGTAAACCTGACAGTGAGGCCGTGTATCATATCCACCTCTTGTGCATGCTACAGAGTCCACATTTTACAGTAGCATTCGACTGTACACATGTACAGGGAACTTCCAGCAGAGCCAGCTAAATTAGGGTTGTGCAATAATAGCCCATGCATACATGCGGCATTATTGAAGGGGAGCTTGTTTCACAACTACAATCATCCTCAGCTGCACTGAGCCAAAAACACTGTTCAAAAAACAAGTGAATGTGCTCAAAACACTAGTGATGCATAGTGTCTGTATTACCTCTGAACATTAGCCTCCCCATTGGGAATCCTTCGTAGCCGTCTCTGCTTCATAATCTTGACAGCTCTCCGACACAGAGTGTTCACGTCCAGCATTTCCTTCACCTTGGAGTAGGAACCCTCTCCCAGCAGCTCTCCCTTCAGGTACTTGCCTCCCACTATCTTGGCCTTTGGTCTCTGAGGCTGGGCGTAGATGATGTCCGTTGAGTCGTAGCGGTAGAACGGTACCACTTCTTCCGACGGCGAGTCTACGTCTTCCACCGTGGTGTAGGGGATGTTGAAGTTTCCCTGGGGGACAAGCGAGTGTGCGGTGAAGGACGTGAGGTCGTCTGAAAAGTCGTCGAGCTCGGACTCGTTCCGCGGGTCGCGCCCCTGCAATGATTCCCTATTGAAGCCGCCTCTGCCGGCTCCAGAGGTGTACACGTCAGGCAGGAGTGCTTCAGCTCTTGCCATCTCTTGTTGCTCCGAAGTTGGGTAGTTCATATGCATAGACAGAACGCAGCAACCAACACTAGGGTTGGAGTGAATTCAAACCTTTCCACCTCCTTCGGATGCCTAGTATAGTGACAGTGTCGTGAACAAACTGTTGTAGCATTACAATGGCCCTACAACAGCCGCCAGTTGTCCGAAACACGTTTCCATAGCCGAACGGTTGAATAGATAATAAGTCTCCGTCGTTCACTATACTTGTGAGGTGTCTCTGTGTGTGTCGAATGCAATCTCTCTGTATGCAAAGGTAGCTAGGCGTTCGTCTCTTCACTTGTGAACTCGCCCCTGAACCGAGGAACCGGAAAGTAGGCGTGAGTCAACAGTCCAATTTTCTTTGTCCTCGATAGTGTAGCGTCCTCTAAGTCAGAGGGGCGTTTTGGGCTCGTTGCAAACAGTCTGCGTGGCTCTGGTACTCCGAGAGGAGCTAGGGCAGCGCCCTGTGGCCAGGGCCTTGGGACAGTCGTTGGTAGGGGGGAGAGCACCGAGCAAAGCACCCACCACTATTTTTTCGGGGGTGTGAGTCGCCCGAGAAATTTTAGTCACGCCATTGTCAGATAAAGATCACGTGGGGACTCGGTGAACTTTGGACTTTTGACCTGCATGCAGCAGCGAAGAGCTTGTGAGCTCCGTGCCTTTGAGCATCTTTGGCTAGCGAGACTAAGCTTCGCAGCATTGATTGGACAAGACATAAAACAGTGATCGGTGAGTAGTTATGTATCTCAGGATCAGATGCATACTCACAAAGAATGCCATTGCCAAAGCACAGTTGCTGCAACTGTTGACCCTTGTTTGGGCGATAGGTGCTCTAGCTAAGTCTAGAAGCTACATCTGCTACTAACTGTATTGGTGCATTAAAAATGTTTACGCCATTAGCTACAGCACTTTAGACATTAGTGTACAAGGAATCTTAGTTTGCAATCATGTTGTGCAGAGAAAGGTTTTTGCCTTTTTAATAGCTCATACATTAATTGTAGGTATGCACCTTTACATATGTATATGTCCATTGTCTGTTAGGAAATGTCGAGTGACCCTCTCACTAGTATTGTTAATGAGAATGTGGAGGATGTAACAGAAAGCAGAGATGGTGAAGTTGATGAGAAAGAGGAGGGAGAGGGTATGAAGAATATTGCAGGGGCAGATGATTTGATTGGAAAGAAGGGGGAAGGAGGGGAAGTTGGAGGAGGGATGGGGGTGGAGGACGGAGGGGTAGGTGATGGAGGTAATGGGGAGGAGAGAGGCAAGGAGGAGGAGGGGGGGAAAAGGGGGAAGGGAGGAAAAGAAGGAGGATAGTGACACTGAGGCATTTTCTAATGTCAATCTGGCCACTCCAACCGGTGACAGACAGGGTTTGGAGTTCTTTGACCACAATGTCACCTCCAGTGACTCATCAGGTATAATGCTCACACAATTCACTTGGTATACTGTAACACTAGTGTAGACGCATTGGGACCAGGTGGTCTTCACTCAGGCTCACTAGTATCGTACCCAGACAAGGAATTCATTTGGGGGATGGGGCACTCGCCCTCTTGATCAAGTTTACGTGAACATGGACTAGTGGCTATACCGTATTGAACTTGTCCATGCCAAGTATTGGGTGTGGTCTGATGGATAAGCACCCACACATTTGATCGTGAGGTCCACGGTTCGATCCCGGCGTCTGGGTCATTTTTTATAATGATGTAATATGAATGTTGATATAAGAGGAACGTTTTTTCATCAGCTCTCGTGGCCAGCCCAAGTGGCTAAGTGGTTAGAGACGTGGAGACTGTCACATAAGGTGCCCGGTTCGAATCCCGGACCCGCACTGAAACTGACAGGTGGTCCAGAGCATTGGCTGGGAACAGCTCTGGTTCCTCCCCTTACCCACGAATCTACCACTGACCCACATACATCTCAAAGGGCAGCGTATAGTTCGGCATAGCATTGCGTCCGTCTGTTTCAACCTTAGAATATAGTTTTGCTTAAAACAATCCATGGAGAAGTGTATATACAACATTCAGTAATTTTTAACTGCATGGCCAGTAATTGTTTACCAACATAGATTTCAGATTGCCCGTATGCTCTTACCAAATTTTGGGTGTACACATGAGAGTATGTTATTCCCTTATTTACCCTCACCTACTCAAATATGTTCTTTGGTCCCACTCTCATAAATGAGTTTTGTGACTATAGTAGTGAGGTTTCAAGTTAACCTCGCCGTGGTACAGCACTTTAGTCTGAGTGCCATCCGTCTTCTGTCTGTAGCATGTGAAAAAAGCCAATATAGGATATCGCACGCACTGGCTTGACCATCCCTGTCACCTGATACTCAGCGTCTTCTTTCTCGCTGTGTACCTTGAGTGGCAGAATAAGTGCACAACGAGGCATGTATGACCTCACGTCACATGTTATCGCTCTCCCTGAACACACAAGATAGCATCACCTACATACCAGAATACCTCTGCAGTATATAAATGTTTTGCGAATTTTTGTCCCACCCCGCGAATGTGTGGCATTTCTCGCGTCACCCTGTGTCCTAGTAGCACTAGACCCCAGTGTTCGTGAGTGGTCTGTGATCTGTGGTAGCATGACGTGTGGACAAGAGAACCGTATTGTGTAGTACCTCTACGTGACACGAGTGTTTATGCAGTACTTCTTACAGTCACTATGGTAAGTAGAGAACACATAAAAGCCCCCAAGGTGTGGAGTGTATTCATCAGTGGCGTACGTTCAGAGGTTGAAGACATTGGAGTATGAGTGTTGGTGTGGCTATACTAAGTCTCTCCCGTTGATTGCCCCAAGTTAGAAGATTTTTGGTGAGTGATCAAACGGTGGTAAGATTTCAGGTGCTGAGGGCTCTGATACGTTATCTTTCGGCTCTTTTGTCCTTGTAATTGGTGTTCTTTTATGTGGAGTAGGTTGTACCAGTATACTAATTTTCAGTGAAATTTCATTTAAATGTCCCCAATATGTATTGCTGGGGACCATATCACTAGTACTGTAATTACTTAGTATATAGGATTGGACAATGGTTGTCCCTGCTTATGCCCATGGTACATAGATTTGTAGTTTCTATCCTTTCTACATACAGTATGATCCTTATGGTCAAAATAGCCAGTGAAACTTATAGCCATGGCGTTAATCTGTAAATTTCGATTATCGCAACTTTACTAAGAACCTGAATTGGTAGTATGAGGACACTGGGTAAAGGGATTCTATGAGGCCCAAGAACGCAGCATATTGTACACTATCGGTAGTTTGAGCCGGGGGAACATTGGAAGTTCTTATACTGCACACAATTGCGTCACAACCAAAATTGTAGGGTAGTGTCAGAGAGGGAAACATCGCTCTGTGCATACTGTCTTTAGGAAATGAGTCATTCTATGAAAGAGCTTTATTCATGCTTCGGCGGGGAAAAAAGTATAGGTTTGCGTGGAGGAAGGGAAGGGGAAATTGACACATGTTTAGTGTTTAGACCGATAGGTGGGCCATAGGAAGGAAAGGAAGGCTGGTTAGGGAGGGGAAGGTGACAGTAGAAAGTGTGGAGGAGTTGAGTCTAGTATAGAGTGTTTGTATGAAATAGGGACTTGATAGGATACTCAGGTTACTGAGATTGTTTATGCAAAGCGACATAGGGCGGATGGGAGCATAGCGTGCATGCATATCATGGTCTTAACTAAGTAAGCTGCAGAGCTATGTCCTTGTGGTTTATAAAAAGGTTTTAGTTCCTGGAGTATTGTGAGTCAGGTTAGAGGTTGAGAGGTGCCAAGTTGTTACATACCCGTTGTGTTGAAAAATGCTGTTGGGTTGAGGCAGATGTATGTGAGTTGTATCAGAAGTAAGTGTGGTTATGTGGCGGATTGGCGTTGTACTGGAAACCTAGTTCCAAATGGGCAAATTAAGCAATTCATGAATTGGGTCTCAGAGAAGAGTTCAATTCCATGGTACGTGTATCTCTGTTTTGGGGGTGGAAAAAGAGGTTTGATCCTCATTACTATCGCTCAGTTTCAAGCAGCACTGTCCAGGTCAATCAGAATGTTCTACCGCTTGAATATGTTTGTGGACTAGGTCAGAATTAATTGTGGCACTTGGAACTGCTCTTTGCTCCCATAGTTGTGCAAAAGTTGATATCACTGGAGGTTAGTTGGATGTATCCACACATATTATCGTTCATTGGTAACCTTTCCTTAGGATGATAGCAGGCTTTTTCCGATCTCTGTAAGTTTCGAGGTCATTAAAGTTACTACCATAGCATTTCTGAAAACTAGACGGTTATGTGGAAGAAAACATACAGATGTAACATATTTACCCACTGCAGTCTGATGGTTGTTATCCAAGTTGCCAGTCCATTCAAAAGCGGACAGTGGTGTGTCTTATGGTCAGCGAACAACCTTTGTAGGTCCCATGCTATCTTCGGGGTTCTGTGTGAAAGAAACTGTGATTCTGCACTAACTTCTAGCACGTCTCTGTTAATATCATTCAAACAGTGCAAGTTATGAACCCGAAGATGATCAGGGAGAGGTGCGCGATGCCGCTTTTTGCGATCCCTTGGGGCGCTTTGTTGAGATGGTTCGCATAGCCATGACCCATCATCACTCAGTGAAATAGAGGCAAAGAAATAGAAGGGGGACTCCCAGTGTATTTATTTCAGTATGACCACACATCTTTGAAATGTTGTTAGTGTGTGTGTTGTGGTTGTCGATTTTGGTACCGACTACAATATACCCATGGACAGTTTATGTCGATGAGCCAAATACGTTTGTATGCAGATACACGTGTCCGCAGTGGTAAGTTGAGGGCTGGAGCAGGTAGAGGGGATAAGGAGAGAGAGGTGGAAGGAGGAAGGAGGAGCGAGTGGAGAGATGGTGAAGACACAAGCAGTACGTGGCACAGACAGAGGGAGAAATGCAAAGTTGCTGGATCTGGAGAGTTCCTGTCGACGTCGCAGGTTTGTCATGTGGTGATTAAGTATTTGCGAGCAATTTTGTTGTAAAACTACTGATTTTGGGGGGTGGGGAAATTGAGGGTGCGTCAAAGTCTACCTTTATAAGTAAAAAGTTCCGTTTAGAGAACATGTTAAAGGGGTGTGTTATACCATTTAGGGAAGGTGTGATTTTCAGGCCCCCAGCCATGTTCGATGTTCTTAGTGAGTCATGTGTATTGTGTGTCTTGGTGGCCAGGGAGTGTCGTAGATGAGACGGCAGGACGAGAGGAGATTGAAGACTGCATTTCGCCACAGAGGAAACAGGGCTACAGGGACCGAACCCTACATCAAACATAGAATAGTCACGAGGTACGCAGTGGTTGCAGTGATGTATGGTAATATTATACTAATGGAAGGGGATGTGGCGGAATGGGGGACTTTGGGAAATGCAGTGTTCACCATTCCCCAGCTGTCACCTTTCAATCACCCGGTATACTGTGTGCACACCGTAACCTTTTGTGTGACTGGAGTGCATACTATAGGAGAGCCACAAATGTGCATCCTTCTCAACAAAAGGTGTCCCTCCTTCTCCAACAAAATTGTATCTCAGTATACTTGTTGTTATTGCATCTCGTGCGATCCAGGTTATATCTCCTTCCAGGCATATACGTACCCATCCACCGGTACGAAAGAGTCCAGCTATGAGGTG